AAAGACTGAAGTCCGCCGAGGAAGTGCTAGCGAAGCTGAACAAAGAAGCGACCTACCGAGAGAACAGTAGGGAACCGGCAACCAGAACGGTGGAGAAGGAAAAGCAAGCAAGCTTGGAAAAAACAGGTTTAGCCGGTTCAACTGTCGCAAGGCCCAGCTTCAGCGAGGTAGTGGTGGGGCAGGGAGGGAACAAAGCAGCCGGCGTCACAGGTGCAAGTAGCCCCCAGGTGCAGAACGCTCCAGCAGAAAAGTCGCAGCATGTGATAATCGCCGGGGACTCAAATTTAAATCGATGCACAGAAGCCATCAAAGAGAGGGTAAGAGGTGACAAGAGGGTTGCAGTAGGGGCGTTCCCAGGACGCAAGCTGGAAGCAGTCATAAAGCAAGCGAGCGCAAAGCTCAAAACGACAGCTGATAGACGAAACCTCGTGATAATTTCAGACGGTTTAAACGATGTCCTAAATGAAGATGCAGCAGGGCTAGCAGCCACACTGGTGAAAGGCGTCGATGACATGCGCGCCACTTCTCCTAAGGTGCAGGTAGTGATATGCACGATACCGGAGGTACCGGTGCGTGATAGCAACCTGCAAAGAGCGGTGGTCAACGCAAACCAAGAGATATGGCGGATGAGTCGAGAGAAAAACTTTGAGGTGGTGGAAATAAACAGAGAGGTGCATAGGTGGGGGGGGTTTTCAACGAGACAGAATTCACTTCGATGGGCGGCTAGGTCATGAGGTGGGTTGGCAACTTGCAGGACGCGCAGTAGCTTTTTTGGGGGGCAAGCGAGCCCTTCGGGGTGCAGGATAGCTAGTAACGAGGAAAACAACCAGGGAGACTCTTCGACAGGTGGTATGGACAGATACGATTCCAAAGTGGCACCAATATCTAAGATAGGTAGAGTCCGGGGCATAAATAGACGTAGTCACGAGCGCCGAGCCAATTCAGACATAGGGTATATTAACATGCAGGGTGGTAGGAACAGGCTGAAGTGGGAAGAGATAGAAGAACAGCTAAGGGAAGAGAGGCCGATGGTATACGGTTTTGTAGAAACACATCTCAGGGACATGGAACAACCTCCGAACAATCCGGACTACGCGTGGGAATATTGTAATAGAACAGAAGGCAGCAGAAAGGGGGGTGGTATTGGGGCATTCATTCATAAAAGTACAGACTGGCAAAGGGTCAAGCAGGAGTGCAAGGAACATTTATGGCTAAAAGGGAAAGTGGCAGGTCAAATGACACTCCTTGGTTTTGTTTACATGTAGACGGGAGCAAAGGCCAGAGAGGAAAACCAGGCAATGGTAGAGTGTATATCAAAGGACATTCAGGAGTTAGGAAGAGAGTGCGAGATAATTATACTAGGAGACATGAATGTGCACATAGAAGATATAGATGGGTATACCGACCCGACAGGCAAAATGATCATGGATATGTGTGAAAGGCTTGATTTGATCATTTGCAACAGTACCGAGAAGTGTGAAGGGCAAATAACATGGGAGGTAGGAAGGCTTCAGTCGACGATAGATTATGCACTGATGTCACATAGGATGTATGATAAGCTCAGGGAAATGCACATAGATGAGGGTGGCTCCAGAAGTCTGGGTAGCGATCACAAACGTATCAAGCTAAGTTTTGGAAGAGCAGTGAAAGTGAGAAGGAGACAAGATGAGCAACTACAGGAAAATTTTTATCCAGAAAGGCAAATTGAAATAGCCACTAAACAAATTGAGAAAGTAATCACGGAGGATAATAAGACAGTGTGGACATACACGAATCTAATTAGACTCGTTGAGCTAGAGCTTGCTAAGATGCGTGACAATTCACCCCGGAAAAGAAGACACAAACCCAAAAGTTGGTGGGATGAGGAAGTTAAGAGAGCCATAGCAGAACGTCAGGAAGCCTCTAGGGAACACAGACATGCTAAGCAGCGGGGTGAACCGACAGATGATGTGGAAAGAAAATGGGCAACCTTTCTAAGCTGTAGAAGGGATGCATCCCTTCTGATCAATGAAAAGATTAGAAGGAAGGGAGCTCAGTGGCTGGCAGAAGTACATAAAAAAGATAGAAAGGCAGCTGCGAAATTTTGGAACCATCTAAACTCCCTAAGAAATGAGACGAGCCTAGAGCAGAGCTTTATAACTACAGCCCAAGGTGCTAGGCTAGAAGGGGACAAAGCTATTGAATATATAAGAACAAGGGTGACAGAAAAATTTCAACAAAGAAGTACTTTATGCACCAAAATAGACAAGGACGAATCAAGTGGTGCAATGGCTCCATTTTCACAACAAGAGTGGGAAAGGGCTGAGAAAAGGGTTCCTAGTAGTACATCAACAGGCCCAGATGGCATTCCAATTAGGCTGATAAAGACATTAGGTCCGAAGTCTAAGCAGGCTTTGAGAGAGGCAGTGAGTACAATAACAATCGATGGTGAAGTTCCCGATGGATGGAAACTTAGCAGGATGAACATGATCTATAAAGGAAAGGGGGACAAAGCTGACATAAACAACTACCGTCCTATAACAGTGACATCAGTGGTCTACAGGCTGGCGATGCAGATTATAAAGGAAAGACTGCAGGCGTGGATAGAGGATGAGGGGGTGCTGGGGGAACTGCAGAATGGGTTTCGGAAACACAGGAGGTTGGAAGACAATCTGTTCTCACTGACGCAGTGCATCGAAATAGCAGAAAAAGAACACAGGCCCCTGTGGCTAGCATTTTTGGATATCAAGGGAGCGTACGATAGCGTGGTTCAAGAGGAATTGTGGGGAATACTGGACACACTAGGCGTGGAACATGTAGTCACTAATCTTTTAAAGGGTGTCTATAAAGGTAACAAGGTAGTTATAAAGTGGGAAAAACAGGTATCCAAGCCTGCAGAGGTAAAACGGGGGCTTAGGCAGGGGTGCCCCCTGTCACCCTTATTATTCATGATGTACCTACAAGGATTAGAGGCAAAATTAGAGGGAAGTGGACTGGGCTTCAACCTCTCTTTAGTCAAACAAGGAAAACTTATTGATCAGGCACTACCAGCATTAATGTACGCAGATGATATAGTGCTAATGGCCAACAACAAGGAAGATTTGCAGAGATTGATGGACATCTGCGGTAATGAGGGAGATAGGTTAGATTTTAGATTCAGTAGGGAAAAATCAGCAGTCATGATTTTCAATGACAACGAAGGTAGTGAGCTTGGAATACAGGAGGTCACGCTAGAGATAACAGATCAATACAAATATCTGGGCGTATGGATAAGCAATGGGACCGAGTATCTGAGGGAACACGAAATATACGTGACGACTAAAGGTAACAGGAATGCAGCAGTCATGAAAAATAGGGCACTGTGGAATTACAATAGGTATGATGTTGTGAGAGGAATATGGAAAGGGGTCATGGTTCCTGGGCTGACGTTCGGCAATGCGGTCTTGTGCATGAGATCAGAAGTTCAAGCAAGATTAGAAATTAAGCAACGTGGAATAGGTAGGCTTGCTTTAGGAGCTCACGGGAATACACCAAATCAGGGAGTACAAGGTGATATGGGATGGACATCATTTGAGGGCAGGGAAGCTAGCAGCAAGATAAAATTTGAGAAGCGATTGAGAGAAATGGGGGAAGAGCGTTGGGCTAGGAAGGTTTTCAGCTACTTGTACATGAAGAATGTCGATACAAAATGGAGGAAGCGAACCAGGAAGTTGACTGGTAAATACTTAGAAAACAGCAGGTGGCCAAACCAAAAAGAACTATCGGTTAAGAAGAAAGTGAAGGAAACGGAGACTGACATGTGGAGAATGGGCATGTATAAGAAGTCCGCACTAGAGATCTATCGAACTTTCAAGCAGGAAATTGCCAAGGAAAGGATCTATGATAATACTCGGGGTAGTTCTCTACTGTTTGAGGCCAGGACGGGAGTACTGCGAACCAAGCCATATCGGGCAAAATACGAAGGGGTAGACACAGTATGCAGTGCGTGTGGAGAGGAAGAAGAAACTGCCGAACACTTGATAATGTTCTGTAAAGGGCTTCACCCTATAGTTCAGGATGATGGCGCAGAGTTTTTCAAAGCACTGGAGTTTAGGGACCGGGAGGGCAAAATAAACTTTAAGCGGGTAGACTTAACTAGAAGGAGGTTATCTGATTGGTGGCTAAAGTCAAGGCACGAGTGAAAATTAAACTCTTCACTGCAAAGTACGAATCCTCAAACTCACTTTTTAAGGAAAAAAAATATATAGTTTTTGGTTCATTAGGTATTACGGCTTGGTGGCGCTAGCCACCGCCCGATCTAAAGGGTACAGCCATATCCATCCATCCATCCATCCATTTGGGGAGGGGGTAGTGTTCATCTACACTTTGAGGCGGGGGTAGTGTTGATCTACACTTTATGTATTGATATATATTGAGTGTTTGCAACGCTAAAAAAGCAAAGACAAAGAAGACACAAATACCCAGACTTGTACACAGACATGTACCAACTAGCCCATCAACGAAATCTTCTTGAACTTCTTGTGTGTTTGTACTTGCGTGCTTTTACGTGTATGCGAACATGAAAATTTTTGGGAAGGGGGGTGAACCTCCAGTCCCTCCATACTCAAGCCAGATTAAAAATATTCCTGTTGATTTTGTTTTCACTGATGTACTCGTTTCACTAATGTACATGCTAGACTATATTTTGCAGCGGTAGTGGCATAGGAAAACTTGTAAAGTAAGTTTGATATCGCCAGGGCTGTGGCCAAGGAGGGAGGGGAGAGTGCCCTAGCCCTTCTCCCCCATTAAGTTCTGACGGAGTTTGACCGAAAATAGGTAATGAAAATTGATATTTTTTAAAAAAATAGTCAAGATCATCAGCAAGTGTCCCCCCTCCCCCTGAAAAATATTCCTGGCTATGGGCCTGGATATCAGCACACTGAAACCAGTAGTGAACAATTGCAATCGCACAATGCTGTTTAGTAGTAGATTTGTAAGCGGTATGCTAAATGTGAGCTTGCTTTTAATCTTGTATATTGCAGCAATTCGAGTACTCCAGGTCTGGCAACCCGACCCGCAAGTGCCTGGAAGAGTGTCTCGCAGCCCTGGAGCACGCAAAGTATGGTACGTTTGCAATCCATGCAATCTTAATCAATGCTGATTAATGATTAATTGCAAGTGTAAGGAGTAACCTTCATTATTGTAGCCAAAGATGTACATGAAATACCCACATGCATTCAAACATATGACTGATGAAAAGAAGCGACTACATTGTATCATCAATTGCAAATAGAACAAAGTCAAAATATTTCTATGACATTGCTCCTTTCAAATCGAGAAAGAAGAAAGGATTGGTCATTTGAAAACCGAACATTCATACTTTCCTCTTGCGAGACGGTTTTGCATAAGGCGAAGAATGGGGGGTAATCAAATGAACATCTCAGTCTTAATTTACCGCAAAGAGTGCCTGACAGAGATAATCCCCCTTATCAAAACATACGCAGGCCACTCTTAAAGAATGCAAAGCTGTAGCAGTGGCGAGAGACAAAAGATACTGGCCCTATCATTCTCACGACAAGCGAACAGTCAACGAGTGTGCGCCATGTTCACAAGGCAATGCTGCAAGTTACGCATTTTTGTAGCTTTAACACAAGGAGTGAGCTGGGAAAGATGAGCCCCCTTATCGATATGTACAAGGGCTGCTCGCTCCCCAAGATATGAAAAGCTGTAGCAATGGTGAGCGAAGTAAAAGATACTGGCCCTATCACTCTGAACAATAAGATTCAGCAAGTTAAATAAGTGCACTTGCGACATATCCTAGATAACTCATGAGCGTGAGGCAATGCTGAAAGCTGTGCAATTTTATAATTATCCCATGGTTGCAGCCTGTAAGGTCTTGGACTCAAAGTAAGCTCTTGGAGAAAAGCGAATTCCCGACAAGAAGTGTCCGTACTATTACGCAAATAACACACACATACAAAGGACTACCACTCCACACTCGCAAATCACTAATTAGCGATACGGTAATTGGGTGAGCAACTCTTACACCCACCTTAAACTATAGCACAGCGTTTGGATATAAACTGCAAGGGCCTTTGCCGCACAGTTCAATCTACCATCACTTGACTGCTCTCTGTTATCTGCCCCTCATACACTGTTTTCTGAAGGGGCTCCGCTGAGCTTCAGAAAAGTGGCAGCCTTTGGAAGTTTTCTGAGAGAGAAGCCTAAGTACGGAGGCGATGCACATGGTGACCGCACAGGTGTCCGCTATAAGTGGCTGATGTTTCTTTGAAGAGCGATATCACAATTGGTGTAGACACTGTGTCTGTCCTGCTGGATAAACAAAAGGCTGAGCCTTGGAGTGCAGCCGACACCTCTCAAAGATACGAACCTAAGGAAAAGAGGAAAACCTCGATGACAAAAAATGAGGCTGCTCAAATACGTACAAGTGGTACAATCGCATCTGACAGTGAGCTAGAACGCCTGAGCACCTCTCAACATGCTCGCGTGTTGAAGTTTGGAGAGAGCGTGATAGCGCACGCAGGATACGCAGCTAGACTTACACAACGCCACTCAATCGAGACATGGAGATGCACTCGATGTGCTCACAAAGCAAAATAACAAAGACAGTGTACTGTGCCTTGTTGCGAAACAGTACACTCCTATACAAGATTCTTAGTATAGTACTTTCGTCGTTTAGGGCCAGCTACATGGCTATCTTGGAAAGGAATTGAATGTTTTACTTGTACTCTATGCCGGCCGCTGCTTAGCTTGTGAAAAGATAACAATTAAACTGAAAAAAATCTATAAACAGGGATTGTGTGCTAGAGATGGACGTTTCAAAAAGTGGCCTTCCCTTCTTGAAGGCTGTAGGAGAGTAATCTCGCAGACAGACTCTTAATCCCTCCAATATATGCTATGCCATAATCCAAGGCAAAGGTTAAATTTTCCTGTTTAGCAACACGCAGGGAAAGTTGGATCAAGTCAATGAAAATTGCTAGCTAAGAAAGGCTTAAGGTAAGGTTAAATATTTATGCAGAAGCCAAGCCTATGTACGTTGAGTAGCTGGACAAAAAACAAGAATTTACGGATGGGCTTCAGCGCGATTTAGACAAAGACAATAGGAGACACCGAGCGTTGTGTGTCTCCTATGCTCTTTGTCTCAATCAACCTGCAGCCTATCCAATTATGTACTACCAACTCGCCCAAGTCAAAGTGCTTTTGGAAGAATTTACGATTTGCAATGAGCCTCTATAACATGTGAAAGAGTGTTCATTTTGGTCAAAGTAGAAGTCAAACATTTCACATCCTCCGTGTTTTTGTCTACTTTCCCCAGCACTGACATATTCTTCGGGCCTGGCAGCCACACACAACCTGACACACCTCCTGAACAGTGGTGACCACGTCGTCAGCTTCGATGACCTCTACGGTGGTAAGGAGCATATATTGTCACATGCAACGTGTTTTAAAGGTCCATATATATGTTAATAGCGATAACTGTCTTCATGGAAGTAACAAAGCACTACCATTTCAGGCACGAATAGGCTGTTCAGGAACCTGCTGATACCTAGAGGGTTCGAAGTGACATTTGTTGATGCCACAGACCTAAAGAGATTCGAGGCTGCCCTAAGGCCCAACACTAAAGTAGGTGTTATGTTTTCTCTTAACCATGTTTTTCTTTCATATTTATATTCGAGTACAATACAAAGAAAAAAAAGCAGGCCGTTACTTTTCAAATATTTTAAGCATAATAAAGTCCCTGGACTGTTCAAGAAGTAAGAGTTGATATTACAGCATTCTGGCCATTAACAATTTGTTGCATGCCTACGTTTCTAACCACACATCCTGTGTACTTGAGCATTCTTTGTCTTTGCTTCTTGCACTGCTTTTCAGAGTTGAGCACACAAATCACCTGCTCAAACCAAAAATTATAGCAGCCGATGGAGTAGCCAACCTGTTGGTGACAAACTAGTGGATGTTGCACAAGCGATTTTTTAATTTTGCTGTTTCAGCATTAGTAATTGCAAACATTGTTTCGTAATTCATTACTGCAGACGTTACTCCTACAGGCCTTATTCTAACGATTACTACAGTATATTCATTATTGACAGGCAAATTAAGCAACTTGAGGTAATGACGTGTTGACTCACTTTGCATTCGCTCTTTGTTCTTCTTAGCTGGTATGGCTGGAAACACCGAGCAATCCAACCATGAAAGTCGTCGACATCAAGGGGGCCTGCGAGATTGTCCGAAGAAAGTGCAAGGCCATTGTCGCCGTCGACAACACCTTCATGTCTTCCTACTTCCAGGTACGTCGAGCGGTGCCGTTCAACTGATGGCCTCCTCACGAAATCGGGCAAAAGCTTGAATATTGCATGCTATTTTCTTTCTTTCTCACTTGCAGAAGCCTCTTCTGCTGGGCGCAGATGTTTCCGTCCATTCTCTCACAAAATACATGAACGGTAAGTTCCTATTTCAAAACTGTGTAGAATTCAATGCATTTAAAGTAATGTGTAGAATTCAATGCATTTAAGTAACAAGCAGTATTGTAGCACTTTTAATTCACTAACTGGCTTCAGAGTTAAACAGACACTGAACAAAATTACAACGCTTATCTACACATTTGTACACTGGGCATGACAAACACTGAAAACGCCAGGTTTATGTTTCATAGACAGTCTGCAAGCTATAAAAGATACAAAAATGATACATAGGGGGCAAAGTTGTAGGTTTCAGGCTATAGTTTGCCCATGGCCTCGTGGATTTAGACAATGTCAACTCAAAACTAATTATAAAGAATATTTCATCAATAAAAAAGGGGCATGTTATTTTATAAAGAAGTCCAACTAGTTATCTATATTCAAGTAATAATAATAATAGTAATAATAATAACAACATCTGGGATTTTACATGCCTAAACGTCAACATAATTATGAGGCTCACTGCAGAAGACGGCCCCTTTAATTTGGACCACCTGGTGTTCCTTGAAGCGCAATGACACTGCAAAGGAGCAATTACTTTGCCTCCATTTGCAGCATTTATTTTGTATCAATGCGACTGCCGCGGCGGGGATCAAACTTGCAACCTTTGGGTAAGCAGCCGAGCAGTGTAACCACTATATCACCGAGATGCATAAATTAATGATGAGAGTACAGTTGCGAAATTTCCAAAATTATGTACAGGTTCAGAATGACGTTTATCAGTGCCCCTTTATTGAATTTGAATAATGATAAATCGGTGTAGGACATCCCACCAGTATTTCATATCGCTTGCGATTGCTTAGGTGAAAATTGTGAGACTGTATTATTATTATTATAGTATGACCGTATTACTTCAACCCACTTGTGCAATTGATTCTAATGAAAGTGCTCGATAGATCAATGACTTTGCCGAGCAGCAGCTTACACCTGCCATTAAAACCGCAGGGCACTCTGATGTGGTCATGGGCGCCATCTGTACAAACGACAAAGAGCTTAACGACAAACTACGATACTTCCAAAATGGTGAGTGCAGTATTACAATACCACTGTAATGTGGCTGACAGCTTGCCTATGGAAGATTTTTTCGGGATAATGTATGTGGTGTGTAAATCCTATGTCTTATTGACAAATATCTGAAGTGGGGTGGTCAGACCCAAGCTCAACCTGGAGTATACTGTAAAAGTAGAAAATGTGTTACATTCATTACAGCATCACATTCATAATACACAGATGCTTTAATCAGCTGTTATTAATGGCAAGCAGTGAAGTTGGGTGCACACTGAAAAAAAAAATGATCCAAGTAAAATGGTTTTTTTTTTGTCCCACAACAGTAATCATCATCTGGCTTTCTGCGCTCCCTTTCTTGAAAACCCAGTGCTGGCCACTTTCCTATCAAAAAAGCCATGTCACGCTGATAATGCGCATGTCGTTCGTGACCTGAAAGTGTTGGGCGCAGTGCGATAGAGCAAGGGAAGGAACGCAAGATCGATGACGACTGTTGTTGCGGGACAAAAAGACACCCTTTTTACTCTATATTTTGAGTGTAAGGCTCGAGAGTAAGGAAGTAAGTTAGGAGTAAAGGGCGATTTTACGCCCCACTTCCTTAAAAATTTTTCCGGCAACGACCCTGTAAGTTGCACTCATATGCACAGCTAAAATGATGATCTTGTGATGACTAAACTGTTCTACCAACATCTCAAAGAATTGTGGAGAAAATGCGGAATATTGTTTGCATGTATGAGCATGTTATGCTTGTGACTGCAATCTCGACAAACCATTTTTACATAAATTGTTTACGTGCACGCCATGCAGCTGCGGGTGCCGTGCCATCGCCTTTCGATTGCTTCCTCGTCAACCGCGGCCTGAAAACCCTGCACGTTCGCATGGAGAAGCACATGGAGAATGGACTCCGCGTGGCAAAGTTTCTGGAAGCCCACCCTCTCGTAGAGAAAGTCATTCACCCAGGTGAGAACCAGCAAGTAAGCCAAATTATTAGTTCACCAAGTGAATAAGCTGGTATAACTGCCACTGTGCCTATAACTTGACTTGTTGTCATTTATTCCACCTTTTTTAATCAATAACAATGATTAATAATATTAGCCCATCATATGTCGCTTATAATGTCTCAGTTAGAATGATTTTTATTTGGTTGAAAAGGCTTGGGTGAACAAACACACCAAACACAATGATGATGAGTACACAATAATAATAGGAATGGCTGAATGAAAATGATCACAATGAACAGATAACAGCAATGAGGAAGAGGCGCATAATAAATGCCCCCAGTACAAACCTTTTTTAGAATGCAAATGTTTGCTTCGGCGAACATGCTAAGCTCAGTATGTTTTCTAAGTGGTACAGCCTTTGCAAGAGCTCTAATACAGACACTGCAAAGGTTTAGGGATCTTGGTAAGTCCCTAGTCGACTGATGATAGTGGCAGGTAGAATCATTATAATAAGAATATCACAAGATCATGAAGTCAAAAGTAGGTGGAAATAGTAGATCAAGGTCATAACACGACGGTACACAGCATTGCTTGATGAAAACTATCTATCCCGATACTGTGGTCCATGTTGTCACCATCTTTAGGTATCAGCACACCGTGAAGTTTTATAAAGAGTGGACAGCATGACAGGCACATCCTACATGAGGCAATAAATCAGTAAGTGATAATACTGTGAAAAACTGTGAAAAACGGCCACCGTCAAAAAGCAAAATGATGCGAGATGAAGTCATCTCGGCTGCCATGTCTAAATACTAGTACCAGCATTACGAGGTGCTTCTGCGACATAACATGAAAACTATACACTACATGCGAAGTTGATTTGCTTCTCAAATGGCAATGTTAACGACAATACATATTAGTGCCACTACATTGGCCACTTGGGCTTAACGTGAGGATGTGCAAATTTTTTTTAGCAATTACCCATGCGAGCACTTCTTTCTAACTTTCAAATCACTTTGAATTACCAGTTTATCACAACAGAGCCTTCGCTGTTCAGTATGTCAGGACGGGGCAAGGAGATTTGACCTCCTGGTCCTGTCATGGGAGTAGTCAGATTTGCGTATATACAGGATAGACCATAAAGTTTCGAAGATCATTGATTCACGAACCAATTACTGCAATGTGCAGGTCTGCCTAGCCACCCACAGCACGATGTGGCCAAGCGCCAGTGCTCCGGTTTCAGCGGCATGGTGACGTTCATGCTCAAAGGCGGCCTCAAGGAGTCAACCCTCTTCCTCAAGAATCTCAAGATTATAACCCTGGCCGAAAGTCTCGGCTCCATCGAAAGCCTCGCCGAGCTGCCGTAAGTACATTCACCGGCATAGTAACATTTCCTTTAACAGTGAAGCTGTTTAAGGTTAGGTCAAGGGAGCACAATCCGCGTTTTCCTAGCCAGTGTGTGAATGAAACAACAGACGCGAGTTATGCCACAGAAAGGAAACAAGCTCCCGCCCTATTTGCCAGTGGTCCACTAAAAATGAAATCCGCATACAAAAGCATGTGCGCAACAGAGAGAGAAAGAAAGAAAGAGAAGCAGAGTATCAAAGAAATAGAGAAAAAAAGACTTTGTGAAACACATTTGATTGGCAGAGCAGGAAGAAAATATATATGACCTTGTTTGTACTGATACAGTGCAGACCGTGTGATGCCATCAGCTTAAGTATTGAGCCAGCCTTTGCAATATTAAGTCAGAGACGCTGCTTGAACATTTTTGTTTCTTTTTTGTAGGTGTGATATCGCTGGTACAATAAATACCAAAAATGCATAAAGTTTATGCTGCACAAGGTGACATGATAGTGTTACTGTGAATTGGGCACAAGCACATGTGGCCAGCTAGAACCGAAATGATGCAGTTGGGCATTTGAAATGAATTGCTTAATGTGATTCAGTAAAACTTATAGCTGGGCGAGATGGTTCATAATTTAGGGTTAACTGGTGTGTGCAAATATAGACGACACAGAAAAGAAGAGACAGGGACAAGTGCTTGTCCTTATCTCTTCTTTTCTGTGTCGTCTGTATTTGCGCATGCCAGTTTGTCCCGAGCTTAATGTGAACAGATCAAAAGTTTATTTGTGACCTATTGTCTATGACATAACTAAATAATAAGTTGAATTCTTATGTGCTGTGGAGAGCAGCTAAAGGGGTTATGCATCGTTTCGCCAAGTAATCATCAGATGACCTCAGTGGACTTATCAACCAATTGGGGCAAAAACGTTTCGAATCTGTCAACGAGTGAAGTTACAAAAGTTCAGCCCATAGTACTTCAAGCGCTTTCTCTCTCTAGTTCCGGCGAGTGCACGTGACGCTATACAGGAAGAGATGGTGCGGTGGATACAAGTTACCCTAGCACGTGTCTCGACTTCGAGCGTGTGTGACGAAACGCAATTGCTCTATCCCACTGTAAATCCCGCATGAGAGTGCAGCTCACTGGGAAGATTTGCAGACTATGGAGCGCAGCAATGGCGTGTGCCAACACCGCACAGCAAAAAGTGCATCTTATCGAAACACCACTCTTCCTTTATGCCCTCTGTCCGATGTCGCACGGAGGGTGCCAGTGGGTCCGAAGTGAGCGAGGAGGGGCCTCGGTACTAAAAGAGGGAACCCAATAATTGCGACTGCACTCCACTAGCTAGATCTGCTTGCTGTGCACGTCTGTAAGATTTGACTGCGATGTTCGTAGCATGACTGAGGGGTTATTCATGATTCCTTTAATTTTAAGGGATGTAGGGACAACTACATAGAGCTTTTACATTTGTACAACCCAAAAAAAATGCAGCAGAAGCAAAATGTAAAAAAAGTTATGAAGCTTAACAGACAACTCGATCATTGGTTTGAGACTGAATAAAGACAATTTCTGTATTGTAATGGCAAGTAGCCAGCATAAGCTAAAGGTAGTATTGGTACCTGGTAGTATTAAAGTTAATACGATAGGTAAGTCACATGGCTCTATTAGACTACCCTGCTTCCAGGACCGTTTCATAACTTCTGTTGGAATTCATTAAGCCCCATTACTAAATACGGTTGGTCGAAGCCCTGAAAGAAATCATTAAAAAATTCGGCGGGAATTGCCGAGACTGTCCGCTATAAAAATATATTTTTTTACAGAGTGACCATGACTCATGCGTCAGTGCCCGAGGATCAGCGAAAAGCACTTGGCATTACTGACAACCTGATAAGAGTCTCGGTTGGGATTGAAAACTGCGATGACCTCATCAATGACATCGATCAAGCCCTTAAAAAATCCGTAAGGTTGAAAGCGTCAATTACTCTTGACATGCACTGCCGCGAGTGAAATGAAAGGCAAAAGAAGAAACCATCAGCTTGCTAGAAACTCTATACCTGAATGAAAATGTTCCCCACGAGAGCAAATGCAGAATGAGTTTTTCCTTTTATATTGCTCACATGTGGGGCTCTGCACGATCAGTGTTCAGGTTTTGTTTTTGGAACCGCAGGCCAATAAACAATGCTCATACGTAACTGGACGCAGTTAAATATTATTTTCTACCTACGACTACGTAAATTTAATTAGTGTTATATAATACTAGTCAGAAAGACTTTTTTGCAATATAGCTCAAGTGGGCAGACTTTAGCTATTGCAATTACTTTGTAGCTCAAGTGGGCAGACTTTAGCTATTGCAATTACTTCGTGTCTGAGAGCTGATTTGAATAGATTTTAACTTCACTCAGCCATACCTGAAAGAGATTGTGCGGCATCACATTAGATGCTTACTTAAGAAGAGCCCTTACAAAATACTTACTGCTATGACGTAGCGACTATGAATTTTGACTTCACTCAGCCATATCTGAAACCAATCGTGCAATAAATACCACATTAGGTGCTTGCTTAACGGGAGACTGCTTCGGTCGAGTGCTTTAGTGTGGAGTTTGACTGCTATTTTCTTTGTTTCAGGTCCATGTCTAACAGGTGACGGTGCCACTAACACCCTTCTGGAAACATTTTTCCAATATCTAGTACTCGTTTTCAACAACAAAAAACTGTAATAAAATAAACAGATTGCCCCAATGTGCCCCATTTATCGATACTCGGTGATGCATCGCTAAGAATGTTGTGACTTTAGTAGACACAGGTGTTCAGGTAGATGCCTCTTTTGTTCCTTGCACTCCTATCGCACCACTTTGATATCTGAACATGAATTAGATGCTAAGGAGGTCTTTTATGGTGTTTTTATAGTGCCTACAAGTGCCTCTTCTTGGCATTTGTGCCGCAATGTGCCTCAATGCCTATATCAAGATTGGCACCTATATGAACACAAATGTTGCCTTTATGCTGTATGAATGACACAAACCAACTGCATAAAAACTATGCAACTTCAATATTTGCAAAATCCAACAGTTTTAGCACACTGGAGGGTTTTTTATCTGTAACCAAAAACATGCCAAATTTATGAGTCAACTTAATGTTAAATGTTACAACACAGTGTTTACATGATTTGGGCACATGCATTACTTAATCAATGTACTAGACTTTAATTATGAATGAATGCAGTGATTTAAATCTCACTCTTCTTCTGTATGGCACATAATTATTATGACTGATCTATGTACCAATTTCACGCCTGGTTGAATTGCATGACATAACGCATTCTTATTTTTTATCACGAGTGTGGGTAACGTGGTAAATTGCTCTATGTACCAGGCCTTCCGCTATGGATGAAATGAAATGCTGGGGCTTGTGAAAGCTACATACTGGGTAAACTTATTCAAGAGTACCCCATTAAGGTACCTCATGCATGCCCTTGCAACATTAAATTAATTTAAAACTCCACAATCTAGATTATAGAAACGCTATGCATGGTGACAGATAGACCCTATACTATTGGAAGACCTTGTGTCCACATACGAAAATAGTGCGTACACCAAGAAATACATTTCAAGTCGCAACCTTGTTATCAGAGAGAACTTCTAGTAAAATTCAGTTTTTTAATACAATATAGATATTGCAACTTGAGTAAAACGAACCAAAAATGTAGATAACAGGGTCGCAGCATGCATACTCTAGAGTTCACCATAACTGAATTAGCAGGAGTAGACTTGAGTATTAAAGTTCTTAACATTTAAAACATGACGGCTGCAAAACTTCAATGTTCGAACACAGGTTTCAGGTGTAACTAGCATGCAATCGCTGTACATTCTATTTGCAAAGTTCGCTCGATGTATACAAAATTTTTCTGAAAGGAAACATTTCTGACCAACAGAACATCCTCCGAAAGACAGTGCATTACATGGTAAATCTAACGCTCTGATAGCTAAATACAGTATCACATGCAAGGCTGATGAATACAGCACAAGGACAATACTAAAAGCAGGCATCGCATCCTTGCAAGCGCACGTTAAACAGTACTGCGCTTGTGTGCATTTGAGGAACTGCACAAGACACGTTGAAAAACAAACAAAAAAAACTTACGGCAACTTTACGTTGTGTGCGGTGACACCAGATACTTCACAGGAGAGTAGCTTCACCAGTTCACAAACTGAGCCATTCACCGCACGCAGAAAGGGCCAGTAGAACACTTGAAAACGTACCCTGAAAATTGTTCTAAGCGCGTAAACCATACATTTGTGGTCTATGTAAACAGGTCCTGCAGTGAACGAGTAAATGCATGCAAAGCCTGCACCTCAACGAGAGTTGAAGCAGTGAGGAAATAAGTCCATCTATTTCATGTTAAAAGCTTTATTTATACCTTCCAACAGTGAAATATATGTAGTGGAAACAACGCGTTAAATTTTACGTGATGTTCAGTATATAGGCATTGAATAGAAAGAAAACTGAACAAGTTGCCGCGTGCGAAATGAAACTGCTCAAGCAGAAAAGATTAGCACTGCTTAACCTCGTTACAAAAAAAACTCGTATCCAACACAAAGATCTTTGATTTACTAGTATTTAGAAAGCTGCAGTACATTTTCAAAAACTCTAATTACGATATGTCCAAATACTGACAGTAGTATCTTCTCATCCAGGTGTCGGCTCGAAGTGCTATGCATTTTTCATTTCAAACAAAATGACTTCACGACAGGTTCTAGCTAATTAAAACTGGGTAAATGGGAAAATGAGTTCAACAGGTTTTTATTTATCTTATACTGAAAGAAGCACGAAGGCAATCCATAATTTTCTTTCCGAATATCTGTTCATTATAAGGAGGTTACACCTACCATTCTTTTTAATATTAGTGCTATATCGTATCTACACAAATTTTAACCACTGTTCATTATATCGTGGTCTTGCATACCATTCCTTCAACTATTAGTACTATATTGTGTACACACAAATTTTAAGCAGAGTTGAGCTTGCGTCTCATGTCAACGTGCCAACTGGAAGCGAAGTTCCTTCAAAGTGTAATAGATCGTAACATCCACCGGTGATTGAAAATTGCTGAACACCAGTCAAAGATTGCGACTTACTCTTCCCTGTGTAACGCAACGCAGCCATCAACGGACCGCCTTTGTTACACGACTTTCCTCAGGCACATTTTCAGGACCAGCAATTGCAAAAGCGAGAAGCGTTTAACTATATATTTACAAACAGAATGCAGCCAACTAAAGTAGCTGGCCTTGTGGTCACAATATTGAAGTCCCCTATATTTATCACACTGATGAATGAATGAATGCAATAATGTGAAAAACAGCACAACAATGCTGAATATTTTTCAACGAGACATTCTGGATGCATTCAGTGTAATCAGGACAACCCAATTTGTTGCCCATGCTCATCAATGTTTTCACTTAGACCATACACTGGCATATGCATACGAGTCCAAACATTGTTTGCCAATTTCATGTGTTTAGAAAAGAACATACTATAATAAAAGAATAACTCTATCACACGACACATGTAATGTCATTTACAGCGAGTCTGATCAGGTGCTAAGGCCATTTTTATTGGAGGTTCATGGGCATAGCAAATGACATTCACAGATGATAGCATTTCCTACATGAATGTGTTTTTTGAACCCATGCAAACACGACATGCGTATTCACAATGACAAGAAAATGACTGAATCTGCAAGTAACGACAAAATATAATCAAAGATAAGGTTCTTATAAGTGACTTATGTTAACTTTTTTACAACTTCATGACGAACAGCGCAGTAGTTGATGCGATATGTGGAATTACCCTATTCGTTTTCCCAGAATTGACACCAACACCTCCTGTTCGCCACATTTACAAATGCTCGTCTGTTCTTTTTACAGTGCAAGCTATTATGAAATTGCAACAAGGGTCGTTTTTGGCGCCGTAGTTTTCCATTGCCACCGCCGGTGTTTGTAACCGCTGTCGCACAAAATCGGAAGGAAAAAACAAAAACAAAATAAAAAATGTTCAGAATAGAACAGGGTTTGAACCTGGACCCTCTACATGATGCTGCTGGAAACTTCGCAAAAAAAAAAAAACAAAAACCTATAGAGACATTATGTCAGGAAGGGACCACGTTAACATAGGTACCGTAGCGTGATAGAAGAGTAAAATCACAAGCAGTCGACACACAATGTGAATTGTGCAACCATTCATCACAAAATAAAAATTTCATAATTAGCAGGTCGTTCAATCCCTCAAGCACATTACAAAGGGCTTGACCACAATTATTCATCGTCGTTGGTCGCAGAATCAATTAAGTGCACGTAATACCTCGCAGAGGGTACCTTGCTTTTCTAATGGCGTAGTGGGTGCTTGAAAACTTGACAAAAAATTATGATTTATGGCGTAGCGGGACCTTTGCAGGCGTATTAGTAGCCCCAAGTAAGTTTACAATGGGTTCCTGAAATGCCGCTCTCCCAGTTTTAGCTGCGAGTGTGCTGCGCTTTCCACACGAGCCTGGCGTTTTTTCAATTCCTTTATAATTTCAGGGGGAAGTAGTGCTACAGTAGCAAGGTCGGTGTTCCTGCGCAACATCCATCTAACAGGCATGGAAGCAAACTCGGTAGTTCTGTAGGCAGATGATAATAGGAAGAAAAAAAATGCATATGAAGAAAGAGAAACACAAACACCAATTATGAATGCTATTATGTATAGCTGTGAATCAGAAATGCAAAAAATGACATTAGAAATGAATGTCATTAACTGCGAATGACAAGTGCCTTGTGACGAGTGTAGAATAAACACAAGTCTTTTATAAATGTGAATTAAGTCCAATGGCTCAAAGATGAAGTAATGATGCATGAGGTGGTCGGGAGACCTATTGAGATAAAAAACGTTCACATGAAGTCAGAAGTGAACAAGAAATGAAGACAGAAGAACGCAATAAGAACAATCAAAATACATGCAACTCCTTCATAATGTTTCTACACAAATAAAAACTTGAAACATATACTCTGCATTGGAGGGTAGCAGGAAGTAGTTGCTAGATGTCTCTTAATGCTGCGTGAATGGCTTGCAAAATTTCTGTAGCATCTCCTACAGATGTTTCCGAGTTTGTTATATGAAACTGGAGGCTGGCCAGCATCTATTGGAGAAAAAAAAAATGCTGATGTTTCTTTTTTTCTTTTTACTGAGAAAAGTTCATGAGGCTCAACAGATGTTCATTAAATTATGACGTCTTACACACCAAAACAACAATTTTACATAAGTGTTTTAAAAATACCCCCCTTCCCCCATCAGAATCCATTTGTGATGCCTGGGATCAAACTCGTGAACTGCTGGTAAAACATCAAAGCTACAAGGCTGTCGTAGTGAGCCAGCAATGACAACAAAACACTTTCAGATGTAACAATGATAGCAAAAGTGCAGAAAATGGAGTACAGACATGTGTAGCCAATTACGGTCCCAACAAAGTGACATCTATCATTCAACAATACCATTGCCAAGTCAATAACCATCATCACATACTCATATTATGTCAAGCATGTGTTATCTACATGTTTATATGTTGACCATTAAACATATTTGATTAGATTTTTTTGTTACATGCAATAATTTGTTACCTGAGGTGAGACAGTGAGCCAAAAGAGTTCTGTGAAGTACTACTAATAATAATAGCTGGGCTTTAACATCCCAAAACCACCGCATGATTATGAGAGACGCCGTAGTGGAGAACTCTGGAAATTTCAACCATTTGGTGTTCTTTAACGTGCACCGACATCACACAGTACACGGGCCTCTACCATTTTGCCTCCATCGACATGTGACTGCCGCGGCCAGAATCGACCCACGACCTTCCAGTCAGCAGTTGAGGGCCGCAACCGCTATATCGCCGCGGCGGACTCTCTGAATACTACACTTTGCAAAAATACAATACATATATATTCACAAACAAAACGACTGCGTGAGAGGGCAAGTTACTTCTTTTCAAATCAGCAATGAGAACAAAATCTTCAGAGCTATTGCAAGGCAACAAAGCGCATTAAACACAAGTCTCAGAAGTATTAGCCATATTCATAAAATCTTTGCCCACTCAGCAAACTTTTTTTTAGAAATCCAACCAGTTTTGAGTTTCGGTTGCACCTTGAAGCTTGTGAACGTTGATAGGCGCTTGCCACTAGTCGTTGAAACAGTCTAGTTCAAATATAAACGTATATATAGAATTGGAATCGGACCAACGCTATTCACTGAAATCATTGCCAATCAATGTTACTGCCACCATTTCTCTTTGTTGCTAAAAGAGTGTTCTTGCTATTATTATCAAAGTGACAAAGCCACACCATACGACATGACTGAATTATCAGCTCAACTGGAGAGCTGAATAATTGCGTGGTGATAGAGATTGAGACATTTAAAAACTCAAAGTTAGAAAACACAAAACATCCCCAGTTTGTAGGTACAACTGTAGCATGACAACAAATATGGAATGAGACATGTTTTCTTACTTTGACAATTCTGTGGCAAAAGATAAAAAAAAGCACATTTCTTTATATCAAAAACTCGATAAATTTTGAACCCGTCACATTCATGTAGTAACATTGTAAATCAACAACCTATTTGCTCTATACCAACAGTCAATATATTGAATAATTAAGAGCATCCAAATACCCCATTTATATTAATTAAAAGTAGCTGCCTACAATAAAAAAATCAGTTTATAGTCTTTTACAAGCCAAAACTACAATGTGATCATCAGGCACGCCATAGCGGGGAACTCCAAATTAACTTTCATTACAGATGTTTTTAACACAGACTTTCATTTAAGTACATCAATCTTTTCACATTTGCCCCCCCCCCCCCCCCCATATGAATTCAGCTATCGTCGCTGTAAATTGAACCCGTATCCTCGACCTTTACAGTGCCAAAACCTTACCCATGAAGCTACCCCAGCGGGACTCTTACGATAAACAAATTCAAACATGTTCGCTGGGTAACAGCATCATCCGCGCTCAGTATGCCCAAGTAGATAAGGTCTTGAAAACTGGTAACTTGCCTTGTCTAAATAGCGAAGTGAGGCCCGCCAGGGGTAAGGTTTGGAAAGCTCTACCCGGGCTGGACAGGATGAAACCCTGTTGACCAGCTGGTGGACCACTGGCGTGACGTCCTGGACGAACGACTGATCTGGCTTCAAGAGCTTCACGTTGAAGGCGTAAGGCACAAGAGATGGGCCGCCGGTTCCTGACAACAAAAGAAGGGCAACATTCCCGGATCAAGTAGTCTCACTGGCTTTACAACAGCAATACCTCATCGATGCGTTCCAGCCTAAATTTTTCAGTTCGTATGCTAAGAAACACCAGCCCCAATAAGTTACTATAGATTAATTTTGTTCTAATTATATTGCATCTAGCAAACAAAAATTAACCCTTAAGATACCCTTTCCTAGATTGCCAAAGGGCCTTGTGCAATGGCTACTCGTATCGCACATTTCCCTTCCCGAATGTCCAGAAACTGACAGGACACTTTCCCCATCAAGTGACTAGTCATCTGCACCATGTAGTGAACTGTCTCCACTAAGACAAATCAACCACACCAATGAAATTATAAACATGTTCAACTTGTATGCCGTTCTACCCTTCCAAGGGGGTAAATGAGCTGCACTGATTTATAGGCCGAACTGTCATGCGAGTGTCACACAAATGAAGTGCTGCAACGGAAAGTGATTCCGCTGCCTGCCTCATTCCGCAATATCTACAACGGACAGCAAAATCTAGCAAGACGCCTGAGTTTCACCTCTGAGAGTAGAATGCAACAGCTTAGCCGGGCCCCATCTGCATCGTTTTCTCGGCTGCAAGCCCGGCTCAGGTTCTGCGTGCAGTGCCTCAACTGTGCCGCGAGAAAACGAACGACTGTGTGTGTAACGTCGACCTTTCAAACTATCCAGGAATGCCAGTACAGTTGCGAGGTGCCACTACATCATAATTCATTCTCTGGCCAATCAGCAAAAAGCTCACTATGTGTCCATAGGGCACCACGTAAACCTACACGGCTGCTCACTTTGTTGATGTTTATTATGCTGGTAATGATTATTGAATACGTCTGAGCACTTTCTAAAGAGTAGGCCTTTATAGAACCCGCGTAGCAAAATTCACATGTTTTGAATCCTGGCAGAATTATTCTTTTTGCCACGCAATATTACAGTATTCAGGAGACTCCTCCTACTACATGACATTCATATGGTGTTTTTTTAATAAGCAGCTCAACCCCTTAACTGCTCATCTTTAAAAAACATTTCTGGCCAAGAAGTGCCTATTTTTTTTATTGCTGATTTTGAATCTGATTGTACTAAAGAGTAGCTAGTTGATGTTGAAAAAATATTTTCACCACACACTTAGTCAAACCAACAGAACAGAGTTCATTTTTGAACAATACTAGAAAAAGCAGCTCCAGTTACAGACGCCACATCTTTCTCGACTTGTGTAGGCTAACCACCCTTGGGATATTTCACTCGGGAAGCTTCGGGGCTGCGTAGAAAATTTCAAAACGCAGAATGACTCAAAGCGGCTTCACTGGCGTGCACTCGCAATGTTCGTGTCCGTGCTAGCTACTCAATTCAAAGTCATCGCTGTCTTCACTTCCAGGCCTAAGATAAATATCTGAACTCGAATCATCATCACTCAAAGAAGAAGATGAAAACGAATAGCATTTTTTTGTGTTCACAGGCCAGCTATGCATGGGTAGCCGCCACCGTACGCCGTTTTTCCGTACGAAAACCACACACCTTCCTCAGGAGAAAACTAAATGGTAGAGCCATCTAGCAGATGACACGCGATGTAAGCCATAAATGTGCACTTTTCCGTCTGGACGCTAGAGAGGAGTACCGTACCTATTTCGCTAGGACGAGTTCTGCTTGTCGAAAGCCGTCAAGAGGTCAAACTAATGGTGTAGTTCTGTGGTAAAATTGAGCCTTCTGCTTGCTACGCAAAAGGCTCTGTTCGATTCTCACTCCAACCGAAAATATTTATTATAAATTGCTTTGCATCATTTTCTGTCCTTCACTCATGGACTATGATTTTTCACTTGAAACCAATGACACCAACAACAATGCCGATGCCGAATTTCTGTAAAGTGAGCTTTTTATAGCTATACCATTGAAAGTGCCTGCTATGTCTCACCCGACTGTTAACCCACTCGTGTACGCACATTGGCTCGCATCGTATGTATTATGAGAGAACATATATTGTATCAGTGGTTCCTAAGAGACCCGACAAAGGTGTTCTACTGAACAAGTGTCTAAGCAGCTCTTCTTAAAGGTTTTGTAAGAAAAAATAAAGACATATAATTAAGAGCTATCAACCAGCTGTATTATTTTGTTTTGCAGGGTCTGCCTCAATGCACATCTATCATGTCACATGACGTGGCATACAGTTGCTTGACAAAGTTGCTATGCTGCCATATTGCACTAGACATTCAAGGACGGTGTCTGCTTTGTCTCAAGCGCAGCAGCCTCGTAGGAACATTGTTAAATTGCCCAGCGACGAAATTTTTGTTGCAATCTCAAGCGAAGATTTTATGATATCTGACACATTATACCTACGGAAAATGGTTCTTTACTGCAGAAAATTTTGACATAGCTGATTTTTCGAGATGTGCAAGTTTGAGTTAACGAGATAGCACTACTGCGTGTGAAAATGACGTAATCATAAAAAATTGTTCTGTCCAGCTGCTGTGATCCCAATGGGGTTGAGAAAACCATTGGCAATATCTTCGAAAAGAGTTTTGATATTTATCCCCGATTTATAACTCACTGCACAGGCTATCTTTCAGTAGTTTCTCTCATATAAAAAGTGTGCATTTATAGTGTTCATGAGTTGACATTTGACGTACGCATTACGACCACCACCCAGCCATCAATTATGCTTTTTGAAAAATGAATTCACACCTTGAAAGCGTTTGTGCAACACCGCTACTCAGCCAGTCGCACTTTGGACTAAGTCACACTCTGGACTCACCTGCACGACTTGGTTCGTCACTCTCTCGCACTATCCACCACTTGGTGCGGGTGGCAAGCCCCTTGGCTGGCAAAACGGAGGCGTCCGGCTGCAAGAACGGGCTCAAGATGGTCGCAACAAAGGGCCTGCCCTGACTGGAGAAAAGCGCCTGATAGTCGCGCTGCGTGGCCAGATCCCTCACCGAGGGGTTCGGCACGAACGTCGGGTGCGAGTGGTACCAGCCAACAACATCAAAGCCTTGCTCCTGAAGAGACTCCATGGCTTGCGTCTGAGACACTGCATCCATCAAATAAATCGGGACGCCCGAGAACAAGCGTCACACATCACAGTGTCTTGACAGACCTCGACCACATTGGTTCCTCTACAAATTATGTACAGTTGACGTCCGATTTCTTGGACCCTCAAGGGACCGTGAAAACGTCCGGAACATAGGGAAGCCCGTAAAAATGAATGCAAGTGAAAACACATCTTTTATAGGTATCTTATGCTGATGGAGAGGGTCGCAGCAGGAGTATAGGATTCTCATTGCAATCTAGCAAATGCATTGTTTAGGTGGCTCTGAAAAAAAAAGAGCTGAAGAAAAGAAAGGAAAGAAAAAAAATCGAATGCGTATGGCGCTACCGCATTAGCAAACACTTAGCCGCAACACAAAAAAAGTAGCTTATTTTCATTTGCACGGCGTTTCACTTGCCCGCGATGATATCTATCTGAATTTCAGTTAACGTCATGATGTCGCTGTACACCGATGACAGTGTCAGTGCTTGCGTCAACTCCGAGCTAGCTGGCTGTATAGGTGCTGCCTCTTTTAGCTTAGTGTTGGAGTCATCGGAATCCTCTGTGATTCACAAATGGTTTCTCGTTGGTCAATTCTGCACACAGCTTGAAGTCTTTGCCAGCGTCAGCAAAGCCCTCAAGGGTTATCCTGGCTGGAATCGAAATACAGACAGCGTGCAAATCGTCAAAGGCAATGTCTACAGGTGGAAATTTGTCGCACACGCTGCCCACTCCGAGCGAGGCAGCCGTCTCGGTGTCCAGTATGACGCTCGCATGGCGACAACGGTTTCGGAGAGTCATGTTGCGGCCTTCCCCGAGCCTGCAAGCAGGTGGACGGCAGACCAAGGGTCAACAGCGTAGCTTTTGCCACTGCATAGCGCCATGCAGCCCATGATGTGGCCTAAGCTACGGCCAGAGGCTACAGCTGACATCGAATAGGCCTGCACTGGATTGCAAAATTTCCAGTTTTGAGAGTATGGCAGCCGCGGCGCAGTGCCGTTCAAGGGTCCGAAAACAACCAAAATGCAGCATCGATAGTGACTTTGAGTATGCGGTCAGCGGTAAAAAGCTCGCAAAATCAGATGGCGAAAGCTATAAGCATCCAGAATTTCTGACTCTTTAATACATTGAGTTTATGGGAAACTTGACTGTGCTACAGATAAATATGAGAAATCAGGCATGTCCGGAATTTCGGGCGTCCGAGAAATCGGATGTCAACTGTACTATAGTTCACCTCACTCAAGAATGCACCCATTTTTTACAAAGAACGATGGGCAGCAATAAAAAGAATGGGACGCTAACCATGCTAGTGACTTGAACTGATCTTGCCGCATGCTAGCCACCTGTGTTCGACCACCACAGCTTTCTCGTTAGCTGTCCACTTATTAAAGTGGCAGCTTAGCATGAGCTGCGATGACAGCTGTTGATGAGCATAGTGATGAACATAAGTGAGTTAATGAGAATAACTAATTCCAGGTTTTTGATTAATGGCACTTGAGCTAAATAAGCTAACTAGAGTAACGAATTTAGGTTTATCTGACCAGATACAGTTAGGATAGTCAGCCCATTACAGTAGGAAGGTGAGAAAAATAAAGCAGGACTTTAATAAGCACACAAGCTGCGCGCTTTCAATGTCACATCTTTGGTGAACTTACAGATAAGAGTATACAATGTACAGATAAGAGTTACAGTGTCTGTGTATACAAAGTTAGTATGAAGCTCAGTGCCTTTTAGCAGGCGTGCTGCAGCTTCGCTACCAGCCGAATACACAAGAACACGCTAAGAATTACCAAACAAAAGCCACCAATGAGACCAGTTATGATCATCTGGGTGCCAGCTCACCCCGGCATTGCTGGCAATGAGATTTCTAACCTCTTGGCTCAAAATGTGATCCAACGAGTTGACGCTGAAAAAGTGGAGTCCAAGCGGATGCATCCTCTATTCTAGTTAAACCACGAAATGTGCTCCCTTGCACACAAGATACTACGTAGACAGGTCTCAAGAGACCACTACAGGCTCTACAGGTCAGCACGTTCTCAGACCTAACGGGATGCATATCACCTTACAGCCCCACACGCAAATCTCTCCGCAACACAGATTCTGTGGGGAACCCGGGCCTCTTCAGTAGCTATACACTTACACATCAATTTAACAAATACAGATATAATGAATTATCCTTTATAACTAAGTATGTGATGTATAGTATTGTAATAGATATAGTGTCAAAAATACGTAAACTGTCAGAAAATGAAAATATGTTCAACGAAACTACTGCTTAAACGGAACTATTGCCTCTACAATGCTTGGTTTCGAGCTTGTATTCTGCACCCGTGTTCACCTGTCAGTAAACGGAACTCCTGTTAAATGGGACATATTTTTCCCGTCTCTTCAGGTTTCGTTTACTGAGAGTCTACTGTATACGATCCTAACAAATTTTCGGATATAACGAAGTCTTTTCATGGAAAATGTGGGTTTGTTATAATGAGGTTTGAGTGTAGTAGGAGGCTGCAGGAAATGCAAACTAAGACCACCCAAACCTTACTATGGTAATGAGCTTTGAAAGAGAGCCTTTGCCAGCTCCAACCTTGAAGATCAGCTAAGTCCAATCGTGAGCGCCCAAGCTCGAGCTCAAGACATCCTGGAGCTCTCTTTTCAAATGAAGTTTATTCTCTCTCTCCTATGTTTTCATTTTTACAATAAGTTTTTTTAATTGCTTGATATTATACCTCGAGTAGAGTTCCATACATGCAGAGATTTACGATTTGTTGGGCCTAACAAATCTGCCTGAAAATGCAAACTGCAACGCAACTCACCAGAGTCCATTTCACACTCGAGGTCCGTGCTCACCGAGTCGCAAGCTTCCGCAGTGGAGACGACCAGGCAGTTCCGGTGCATATCGTAGTAGCCGCCCAAAAGTCCGATAACCTCGGTGTTCAGGAGGTGTGCGTGAATGTCCATCTTTAAAAAGGCAGTCACTGACACCTCAATGCTGAATGGCTCCTGGAAAGAGAAGAGCAAAAAAGAAAATTAAAACCGCACCATTCAGACAACTTGCGTCGTTGACATATAGACACATTTCGCAAAGTGTTCAGCAGCACACTCATGCCAATAAAGACACTGGCAATGCATCTGCCAAGGAGGGACACTGCACCTGAAAAGATTTTTCTAAATATATAATTTGTTTAATTGAAACTTGCTGAGAGCACGTATATAGTTATGCGCCGATTTAAAATATGAAATAATTTTTCTAGTACAATTTTTGTAGTTTTCAAATTTTCAGGGGTCACTTTGGGTGTCACGCTTTGCCTAAATTGAGAGAGTTACAAAGTAGTTAAGCACATCAGAATGACCTGGAATGACTGCAGAGCACAACAAAACAAGAATGGATGTTCTCAGCCCATATGAATGAAAGTTGTGGCAAGTTGAATATTTGTGACTGAAATCTCAGCTTGACCTAAACTCATTTGCAAATGTACAACGTACCATAACTTTTCTTCAAACACCCATTTTTGTTTTCTTGCATTCAGCACTCACTTCAAGTCGTCCTGTAGTGCTTGTTCACTATGTGACTCTCTTAGTTTTGACAAACTATGGCTTCCAGAAAGCACGTGAAATGTCATGATATTTTAAATAGCACATATTATACTAGAAAAATACCCGCGTATTTCAAATCTGCACGCAAATATACATAAACGTCACAAGTTTCATCGCAAATCGATAAAGAACTTAACAATAAATTGCAGAACCAATGTCCCTTATGTCAATGAGAACACTGGAAATGCACCCGCCATTTTGGCTTAGCGGCTATGACGCTGCACCGCTAAGCGTGAGGAGACTACTTTACTTCATGGTCATCATGGCCTCATTTCAATGGGGTTAGAGAAAAGCAAAAATGCACATGTAATTTGATTTCGATGCACACTAAAGTACTACAAACTGATTCGTTGTCTCCACCTGTGTTACTCATAATCCTGCCATGCTTTTTGGCATGTAAGACACCAAAAATATTTTTACCATTGTGAACAAAAGGTATTGCTACTATAATGTGTGTCATATGTTGTCAAATGAAAGTTCCTAATAGAGGTTCTGCCAACACTAAATACAAATCACAAGATAATCACCTGGCCCTCGTCGTAATTTCTGCAGGGTATCAGCTTGAAAGGGTTCTGCTGGTGTCGGCCTGGTTTTGGCTTGGAGCGCACGAGCGTCTGAGAGATGACGCTTCCCTCGGAGCCGTGTTCCAGCGTCACACCGCCTCCTTTGACGTCAATGTTGAGCACGTCTCCTGAAACAGTCACAAACAACACTTATAAGTAGGCTTCTGACCAAGAATTTATTCCTTTTCTGTCCGAAACCTTTTCATCATTCGTCTGTTGCAGGTCAGAAAGAAAAAGACTAAAGACTGTTTCAAGCAAACGAGCTTTCTCCCTTTTTTACAGATAGCGCACAGTGTAGTGAGAAAACGTGCGCATGTATCTACTGCGAAAGAACTTGTCTGGCAGCGCCCGACCGCGGACCACTGTGGTCGTGTTGTGTTGTCAGGCAGGGGCTGAGAACAGACCCCAAAGGGTTAAAGGGGCACTCCAACATTTTTCCACGCAATCATTGAATGACTTCATTGCAGGAGTTCATTGCCATCCAGATTAACTGCCGCAAAAATGTTAAAATATTTCGAGTATGAGCGGAGTTGCAGGAGCTTGTCGCACGCTTTAAGCGCTCCCCTTTCTCCTTTCGTACCAGCAGGGTGTACTGAAAACTATGCAGGTGGGGATGACGAGGGGGCAAGAAAATGCCCCTATTCGTGAGCCCTGCCTTAGAGCACTTTTTTTCTTTTTTTTTCCTTTTAAAACGCACGGCTTACTTCCAGTGTGATCCAAAAGAGTAAGCAGGGGCACGTGGCAGCATCCTGTGGCAGCCGTGGTAACGATGCAACTCATCAAATCAACCTATGGTCAAGGACTTTGTTTTTACGGTGTGGTCATTATGGTTTACGGCATCATCGGTCAAGAGAAGGGCGAGCATTTTCAAGCTGGCATTTAGAATTATTGTTCATGCTCATTAAATCGGCTTTCACCAGGCCCAGAAAAACTGCCCAAATTAACTTAATGGCAAATTATCAAAAGTATTATGAAAACAATAAAAGAGAGTCTATTACATCAATGCACATTCACTTTCTTGAGGAATATGTAAATGCAGTAATTATGCCACATGCCAGGAGATGCAAAAACTGCTAGCGAGTTCGTTCACGATGTCAACATAACCCAACCCTATCTCTTCACCTGAAACGTGCTCTGAGGGAGTACCTTATGTACTGCGATGCGATCACAACGACGTGACTGTGAATGACAACCATGCTTTTTTGTAAGGCTGTGGCCATTACGGCTGTCCGCGAGTGCCGTTCTCTCAGCTTTACATTGCACATTTGCCACTCTTCCCGCTTGCTGCACTTTGAAGACCATCCGAATTAAGCAGGTTGCTGGCCAAACAAGACCAAATCAACGAGAGTTTGAAGCCACTGAACAATGCATATGCTGGCCAGGACCATAAAACACATGCAAACTATCTGATTTTATAAACTAATGAGCATCAAATTACCAAGATTTTATTCTATTGTAATTTCCAGGCTGTGCACTGCGCTATAATGTTTGGCTCACAATTCACAGGGGCCTCAACCACCCATAGGCAGCGTTTTATGAGCAAGTTGAAAAAGTGCAGCAGTGCCCCTGTTATAAAAGCACACCACACTATAAGAAGCTGCAGTATTTTCAGCAGCCAAAAAAAAAAAAAAGGGTGCAATACATTTTGGCAACAGAATATGAACTGCTCATATCCTGGGCCGCGACTGTGGAGCTAACAGACACTTTCACAGAGATTTGACACGTCCACCACCCACCACAAAAACAAAGCCTTCAGGCACCGCTGCCAGGAAAAAAGCTTGACTAAATGTGGTGTTTTAACAATAGCCAGTTCGGTCCCCCTGAAACTAACTACACTCAGACCTCATTATAACAAAGTTGGATCTTAGACAAATAGGTTCGTTATATTCAAAAACTCGTTATATATGTATATTTTCCAACGCTAAAGCGGTCCGTTTTCTTTACTCCAAGTACCGAAGAACTGATTCCCCCACAAACCTTATGAAAGAAAACAGTATACCCACACTTGAAAAACGTCGTAAAATTCACAGGCTCAAATTTCTTTTTCTTCAAATAACAACAAGCTGTCAGTAAACCATGATTTGAATCTGAAACCGCTTACGACAAGACAAACCCAGCATCGACAAACTCATTCATTTCGCCAGAACAAACATTTTCAAATACTCGTTCTTTCCTCGAACCATAAACGACTGGAACTGCCTACCTCAATCGTTAACCAGCTCTGTAGAGGCACTTGAGCGTAATTAACCATTACCTATGTTTTTGTATCTTTTGTATATGATGTATCTTTTTTTGTTCTTGCCGTTTTACACCTGTGTGCAATGTTATGATCTTTGCCCCTCCTGCTGGGGCCCTTAAATGGGCCTGCAGTATTTTGTAAATAAATAAAAATAAATAAATAAAATATCCTAAATATTAAATCTATTGCCAGACTATTTTCATTCACTTCGTTACAACCAGCATTTGGTTATATCTCTGTTCCTTATATCGAGGTTTCAGTGTATACAAATATTATTGAGAGAGCATAGTAGCACAGTCGCATTCACTCGTTTTTTTTTAATGTGCAGCTTCTATCTACACTAACGAGTGGCACGTTGTCTATAAGCTTATGGAACGCTCACTGCAGTAGCGACAGCAACTGCCTCACTGACATTCACTTAACAAAAGAGGCAAGAAGATTCCCCAGAGTCCAGCCTATGCCACCCAACCTCGCTTAAGATAGAATGACCTTTGGTTTAAAGGGACACTAAAGTCAAACAGCAATATATGTCAAGAGTGAAAGTTTATTGTATGACAACTTCTAAATTGACAATATTATCAACAGCACTGCCCTGCTTACCAAGAAACTAGGGTAAATGCACAAAAATACATGCGCCGCAGTAGGACATTCTCAAAATAATCCCGATGACATCAGATGACTGCATACAATGTATCACTAGTAATCGATCTAGCTGCACTAAATAAAAAACCTTCCGTGCATCAAGGACAGAATAAAATGCTGCTTGTTCATTTCTGTTTGATTCATGAAAAAAAGAACCACCGGACGTTACTATGGAATGACGCGAGTGGTTCAAAAATTCAAATTTCACTGGATAAACTGGACAGATTGTGCCATCTAGCAGGGCTCAGTTGAATTAAATCACGTCTGCCATCTTGGAGCCAATGGCAGGAAATTGATCAATGGCCATTGTTGCTGCTGTGGCTCCGCTTCTTTTGTTCTGCGCAGTAAAGTCGAGCAACATTGTGCACGGCAACAGTGACGTGAAACGATCCACTTCTTGAGGCGAGTGTAATTTGATGTGCGCTAACCCGATGTGGACCACTAAGATGTGATTTTATTTCAAAATAAGCCCTTCCTTGGCACACAAGTAACACTATGAGGTTTCTGGATCACTATTTCAACTATCAACGTCGACTTAATAGTTATATTAGTGTCCCGTTTAAGGGTCACCGTAAAGTCAACCCACAAGGGTAGGGTTTGACTTTATGCTTTGAAAAGACTTAACCATTAGTTTAAGCTTAAAACTCACCTAAGCTCGCGGTTTTCCGTCTCTGCGGCCTCTCCACGTCGGCTCTTGGTTCCTTTCTCTTCTGCAATGGCTTTAAGTGGGACAGCTGCTTTGTCCTTTGGTATGTCACCTGGGCTACTCAATGTAAAAAGACATACATACACAACTGATGATAGCCAGAATCCACATCTACACAAGCAAGATGAGCACAGTTAAGCTTAAATATTGTAATTCTGATTAACAGCTGCGAAACTCCTAGTCCGTGCTCCTGGTGCTAGTTTCGAGCAACATTATCTCAACTTTTCTCTTGTTGAGGTGTACACTTTCAAAAGCAGGTGATGCGTGATTAGACAGCACAGCTGAACTGATATAAGACACAGCTAGAATATAAAAAATACCCCACCTCGTAGAAGAAGCTTTACAGCTGCAATATCTCAACCTGCTTTCAACGGTTCTGTGAACAAGCCACCAAATAGTAAAGGAAAAAAAAAAGGTCTCACAGCTCACAACAAATCAGCTTCCATGCTAAAGGAAACAAGCACGTCATTGGTCGCCTTTATCATTCTTTTTTTTTTCAATTCAACGACTTTACGCGCCAAAACCACAACATGATTATGAGACATGTAGTAGTTGTGAAGATAAACATTCGACAGAAGTCTCTCTCGTCGGGTATGAAACTGGGAGATGATTTAGACTCGAACCAAAAGTTTTGATGAAACCCGACGTTTCGAAACCGACTTGGTTCCTTCCACAGGGGTGACTTCGGAGACTACGTAGCAGCGGCGTCTTCAAAGCACTCGTGGGGTGGATAATGACCCCTCCCTTTTCTCTCTCTCTCTCGTTTTGCGTGGAGCGCAGTCCATGTGTATACACTGGGGGACAGATTCCGAGAGGGCGGTTGATGTTATGGGCTGTCCTCTGTATGTGCCACGACTCGAGTAATAACCCCCTCCTCCAGTTCAGCTCGCTTTCAAGGATGGCCGTCGCTTCGAAATTTATCTGGTGATCCAACGTCTCAGCATGTTCGGCGACTGCGCTGCGCTCTTTGTAGAACTTCCGCACATCGTTAGCGTCTTGCTTCAGTCGTTCCGGTAGGTTTTTCGTCTCGCCGGTATACGAAGAGGGGCACTCGACACACGGAATTTGTAAACGACACCGGGGGTCCTGTCTATTGTTCGCTGGTCTTTCGGGTGAGGGAGGAGGCGGCCCAGCGTACATGAAGGCACTTGCGCGATGCGAACCCCTTCCTTCTTGAAGATCCGCACCAACATCTCCCTGGTTCCCTGAACGTATGGAACTGGTACGCGTTTTGGGGGGCTGCCAATTAAGGTTGATTGGAGTTTTCGTATCCTCTGTTGCTCTGCGTGAGGGGTGGCGGCTCGAATGAACTTTTTTGGGTATCCGTTTTTTTTTAGCTCAGCAATTACGCGGGCCTTTTCTTTCTTTCGCTCTGTGTCATGGGAGCATAAGTTCCTAGCTCTCTCGAGTAGCTTGGTCACAACCGAGGCCTTGTGGCAGGCGGGGTGAGAAGAATCAAATTGAAGGTAGCGGCTTCCTATGAACGGAGAACTCCAGGCCGTTGCGCTTTCTTGCCACCTGGACATTGAGAAAGGGCAGGCAGTGGTCGCTTTCACACTCGGTCGTGAATTGTATGGCTGGGTGCACGGAATATAGGTGTTGTCTGAAGTTTTCAATTTCAGACGTCTTAATGACGCAAAAGCAATCGTCCATACAATGCAGAAAAAGCTTGGGTCGCGGCAAGAAGGAGCCGAGTGCTTTCTCTTCTATGTACTCCATGGTCAGGTTCGCCATCGTGACAGAGATGGAAGCTCCCATCGCAGTTCCACTGTTCTGCCTGAAAATAGTTCCTTTGTAGGAGAAGCACATACTGGACAGGCAGAACTCCAGTAGACGGCAGAGCTCGTCAACTGCCAAAAGAGTCCTTTCACTCAGGCTTGCGTCCTCCTCAAGCGCAGAACGGGCACTGGAGACAGCTAAGGGAACTGGTACGTTGGTGAACAACGAAAACGCCAAACGAGACCATGCTGTCGTCATCGTCGATGCTCACATTTGATGCTAGCTGCACGAAGTGGCTGGAGTCAAGGACATGAGTTGGTGTCTTCCGGGTTAGTGGGACGCCGCTGCTACGTAGTCTCCGCAGTCACCCCTGAGGAAGGAACCAAGTCGGTTTCGAAACGACGGGTTTCTTCAAAACTTTTGGTTGGAGTCTAAATCATCTCCCAGTAGTTGTGAAGCATTTTGAACTGATTTTGAGCATGTGGGGTTCTTCAATCTTGACTTAAACGTAAGTACCTGACCGTTCTTGCACATCCCCCCCCCCCCCCCCCATAGAAATACAGCTGCCACGAACAAAAATTGAACCCCTCCTCTCATGGCTGGCCACCAAGCAGTGGGAAAAGTGAGCGAAGCATGACCATTTGCACAGATACATACACACCTGATCACCTCGACCAAAATCTGGAGATTCATAAAGCTGGTGTAAGAGGCACGAAAGAAAAAAAAATGGCGTCTCCTAGTACTCCTTATTATATGCCGTGCGCAAGCTGGCATATTTAATTAAGGCACAAAGCCTGCTTTGTTCCGTGACAGCTAGCAGCCCCTTGTCAGCCTTTTCCACAAGACATGTGCTTTTTCGCAAGACACCGAGCGATAAGCATTCAGCACAAGATCAGAAAGTTTTCAAACAGATATCCTTTATTTTATATTTCATGGAGGCACTAGTACTGTTTTCTCGGGCAATTTGTGGCTGCACCCGTAGAATCAAGAGGACTGCTCTAAATTCAGAACTCTCCCGTGCCAATCGAGAGATTCAGCACTGTACAGTGGGTATCGTGAGAACCAAGTATTATGTAGAATACTTACGACAACCAAAGTTGATGGCCCCAATCTGTTCCAAGTAATCATGAATCCTTCCAATGCAGTTCACATCCCCACAGTTCTTGAGACCCTGCCTTGCCTGCGTCTTGTTCAGGTATCGCGGCTTCTGGCTGTTCCAGGCATCAATTATGAAGTTCCTGATCCGAAGGTACCTGAACAATGAGACCACGCAAATTTTTCTGTCTTACCCTGTGGTTTGTGCAGAGAGCAGAGCCAGCAACGACCACATCTATAGACGTTCTCAGACAGGAATACATATAAGTCCCAGATGAAGGCCGTTCAGTGAACGTGGCCTTTTGTGCTCTATCAATTATATCTTCCTTTTGTTTTTGTATAAACAAGAAATAGAAGCGTGGCTGAACAGCCTAGAATTGCTATCATAATAAAAAGAGAATATAATGGTATGTGCAGACATTAGCTTGGGGACTAGGTTGCCATGCCATTTCAAACAAAATATGAAAGAAATGTAGCAAGGTAAAAAGCTTGCAAATCACAGCACAATGAAGCATGCAAAGTGTAATTACACAAAAGTTATTAAAAAAAATCTAGATAATTTATTTGTTTACCACAGCATTGCAATAAGCACTCTAGTTCAATCCCATATCATATCCTTGCTATAATGGAATAATGTCTTGTAGTTGAAGTAGCACAAGGCATAGCATATTTTAGGCCTCGCTTGCAACAGCCCCTAAAGAGCAAAACTATTTCTCGCATATTCCTAAAGTATTGTTTCACAATACTAAAAATACCACTCTAAATGCAAAAAGGCACTTGGTAAATGGAAAAACACGCGAAAAAAAAAAAAATTGGGCGGTCAGCCACCTTGAAATTGCAGCACCAAGCACTGTGGTGTCATGGATTTCAATAGTGTCTACTATGTCCTACGTCCTTCAAGTACATCGTCTTCTGAGCGGACCATAGACTTGACCATAGACTTAACATACTAATTTTCAGGAAATATAACGGAGCCTATATGCCAAAATACAATAAGTCCACTTGGGAATTCGTGATGTGACGTGAAGACATTTCGGAATGAGATTTAGAAATTAAAAGTTCAATTTTGAGTTTCTCTTATAATAATAAACTCATGATGGTGAAAGTAATGACATTAGAGTACGTTTATCAATTTAAGCCTGTTCAATGTTTCACTTCAGAGCACCTTAAGGTTGTAAAATGGTTGCAAACACAGATTACTATAAGTTGTCTTTCCTCGTGCGTACCACAAGAGGAACTCCATGTCGTGCTGGACACAAGCATACCTTTAGTAATGTTGTCTCATGTACGTTACCTCCAGGCTAACCGAACAAAAACAAGTCCAATTGTATCTTTGCAGAAAATAATGACAGATGAGTCTTATGTGGAGTCGTAAGAGATGTATGGCTTATTGTTTATACTCATCACACTGTTCAAACTTTCCCGATTTTTTGTATTTCGCTAGGGAGAGGCATGTAGCTGGTAAAACAAAACTATAGGTGCAAAAAACCTTTATAATACTAAACGTTCTTCGTATGCATTTCTATTTCACCAAAAAACTGTGGAGAATGTGGTAAAGCTTTGTTACATTCACGATACCTTTCCGGTGTTTTGGAAGAGCTTCCAGAAAAGAACTCTGAATGAATTATCTTCTCATCTTTGCTGATCTCAGATTTGTCCAGCACGACTTCTGCAACAGGAGGCTCGAATGTCACAGCACCGGACGCGTTTTCCTCCAGACCCCCCGGCCTGTCTGGGCTTGTTTCGTTCTCAGTGTCTTCTGCAGATGAATCGGTTGCCGGCTTGGGGGTAGCTACTCCGACTAACGCGTCACCCTTGCGGATCGGGGAACCGGGCGGAGAGAACACGACGTCGTCAGTGCCGTCGCAGTCGATGTCTATGTCGTCTTCCTCGTCGGCAGACTTGTCGATGCTGACAATTTCACTCTCCGGAAACTTGTTCTTCAAGGTCTCAATGGCTTCAGCCTCCTTCAGTACGATGACATTCTCGTTGCGCGAGGTCGCCTGCGGTTTTGTCTTCATTTGCTTCTTTGGTGGTCTGGACACTGGTCCTTTCGGTGTGGCAACAAGCACATTGTTGTTGATGGCTTGACCAGAGGTTTTTCCTTGATGAGCCTGGAATGAGGTGGCGATTTGATTGCACCCCGCCAGCGCACAATCACGACAGCAATGAAAAGGAAGAACGCGCCTTGATTCTGAACTTACAATATTGCAAGAACTTCTTTTCTTACACGTATAGGAAACCAACGGCATCATATATGTCACAATATGGTCACCACAGGGTTCATACAGGTCTTAAAGGAGCAAACTCAAGGATATTAAAGGAAATTCAAGGGCCTGTCACAGAGCTTTTTTTTTTTTTTTTTTTTGAGGACTGAAACACAGCATCCATATGAGAACATTTTTACCATAATGTTTCAGATTCTGACTAAACTTATTGCACTTATATAGTACAATCGTAAGTCAGTTTAACAGGGTCATCCCCATGTTAAAATTACTCTGTTGATTTGGAAAGTCTGTAAAACTGAGTCAGGGTTTCTCGAGACCCTCGAAACCTAAAATCAAAACATAGAGACACCCAAAATCTACCACCGCATTGTTTCTGCCACTAACCCATGTGTGCTTGTGCGAAAAATTTGTTTAAGTGTACCGAACATTGAGCCTCACGTATGTAGTCCAGGCATTGCTGCCCCATAGACAGTCCTGTGAAATATAGCATGCAGCCAATATGCAAACAAGGGGAGAGCAAACGCGGTGATTATGCGAGCAGGGCGAGCAAGAAACTTTGAAGAAGAGAATCGGGGTGATTTGTCGTATAAATCACGAAATAACGAAAGCGCACAGTGGTGTTCCTGTAGGAGCCTTTACTGGAACAGTAAACCACCATCCCCCATAGTGCCATCCGGTGCGTAACAGTCTGATTGTTGATTCCACTGTTTTGGGCAAGTGGGTAGTACATAGCTTTGTCAAAGTAAAGCCAGGTTTGCGACTATGGGTGACAGATGTTTCAACGCAATAATGTTAATGTCTCGCACATGAATAAAAAAGCCACCTCTGTAGAAGATCGACAAAAAATTTGCACTTGCTGCAACTTTTTTTTCTAACTTCATTAAGTCCGGTTTGGTTCCGAGTTAGTTTTATTAATTTTGAGTTGACAACATTGTTGAACTATATGAGAACAAGCTGCAGGATGTGAATTTCTTCCTTTAACTGGGAACTACGCAAAATAAAGTTTCATTAGATCAAGCTTTAACTGTGTTGTTATGCTGTAGAAAAGTCCAGCCTCATTGCATGCCATCTAAAGTACTACTTCTCAACACACAACAAATGTTCAGGTCAGGTGCTGTAACTTCTCTAGTATCAAAAAGGCTTCCCAACGTTATAGTGTGCTAACCACATGCACTGCTCGTTTGAAAAGAAAAAAAAGCAGCATAAATGCAGGAGACAACATGGAAGCCGTTAGAAGGTACATAGAGAGAAAGGGGGGGGGGGGTTACAAGATGAACTGATGGGTGAGGTGCAGAATGAATGATAGGACAAGGCATGAACAAACTACATGCAAAGTCACACAGTATGTTGTTTCTGAAATTGAATCATTGCTGCATCCGACGTTTAATCACAACTAGGGGTGTGCGAATATCAAAATTTTCTAATTGGCATCGAATACATAGCTTCGAATACGAATCAAATAATGAAGAGGTGCAATTTTTTTTCGCCAGTAATCTCTTATTCAACCATATATTTGGGCTGGAAACAGTACAGTTGTTATTATAGTCAGTTAATGTGCACAAAAATTTTAAAAAATGTCAAGAAAAAATCTGTACTTGCCAGAAAGCATAAAGTTGAGCTTTTGACTGTGATGTTGGGTTCAATTAACATTATGAACAAACCTTTGTATCTTTTTTTTTATGTGGTAGCACTTTATTACAAAAAAAAGAAAGAAAAGCTTTTGTACCTGCCTTGATGACTACTGAGCATGAGGCCATTGGTTTGATTTTGTCACATTTAATAGCCATATACTTGAGTCTAAGCGAATATTAAAACAGTCTAGGTTGTCACAATTCATCCAGTTATGGCTCGAAAGACCTCGATTTTATAGTTTTCTTGTCCCCTGTTCTCACATCCGGGTGGGTCACTAAAGAAAATAGGAGTACTTAGGGCGTTTTTCAACTACACAGCAATACTCGTTATCTCGCTTGCTTCCGTTGCCTTCTCGAGGACTGCGCTCGCCATTTCGCGATCAAGAATGCTGTGCTGTGCTGATAGCTGCACAGTCGTGACTAAGGTGTACCGCGCGCGCAGCAATAATGCGAGGTAAGCGCACGAGATAGATGATTACTGATGTGTGATAAAAAAGACGCCCCAAATACGCCTTTTTGTTGACTGGAGCTGCAACTCTCGGCAGCGAGGGCACTATTTCGCCGCATCGCGACCGCTTTCGGCGCACTGGCTACAGGTGGCAGTAAATTGATGCTGGCAAAAGAGTAATATCATAGCAATGGTGTAACGAAGGGTTGATTGCAGGAGATCTTGCCAGCGTGAACTCGATGCACGTACGACGAATTTTCAAAGGCGCAGTCGGAAATGCAGCGGAACTCTGCAGTAATCCGTCCGTCACCTTATGTGCGTCACAGTTAGCAATGAAGAACTACATGTGATGACGCCGTTGTAACGGTACCAGAAGTGCATGGCCTTTTCTATGTTGACCATTGCGTGTAAGAACACTTCAGCTCATTCGCATGACCATATTTGCTATCATGAAATCATTCTGGAACTAAGAGGGTATACATGCTGAAGTAGCGAATTCATTCACTAAGGAAGCTTGTTTATTGCCTCATGATGTCACCGCTGCTTATATTTTTAGAATCCTCCGTCCAGTACGTGCGGAGTTGCAAAGATTTCTCGCACGCTGCTAGTGCATTCTCTCTGCTCATCCCGACGAAAGCACTGGAAGCTAAGCAGGGAGGGATGGCATGGGAAAAGAAAATATGTCACACGTGCTTTCTGAGCTTGTGGAGTTATTTGCCTAGAGAAGAGAGCAATTTTTAGCTGACTGAGAATTTATTGTAAATCACACGCCGCGTGCTGCGCTATAATATTTGACTTGCGTGTCCTTGGTAGCCTCGACTACCGATCGGCAGTGTTTGCTGACAATGCTCAAAAATTGTAGCAGGGCCGTTTTAAATTTGAAGGGGAGCTTCGCGACAGAGTGGATTTCTCCTGAAAAAATGCTTTCGCAGTGCAGCACCCCTATATTGCAGTGAAACCACCTTCACAAGCGGTACATTCGGATTAATATGCATTTATTTGTTCCTAGCAAATACCTCGAAATTTTCAATAATTTAAATTTGAACCAAAGCAAATTTGAATTCCCTAATATTCGTTTGAATATTTAAAGCATTCAAACAACTGCACGAGCGTACGAACGAATATTTGTGAACATGGAATATTCGAGGAATATTCGAGTTAGTTCAAATATTCAAAATTTTCGAATATTTCGTTATCGAATCAAATACAAATTTTACAAATGCGATATTCGTTGAATATTCGAAACTTTAGAATATTCGCACACCCCTAATCAGAACAGAAAGCAGGTTACACTGCGCTGCTCCCGAAATTCGAGGGTTTTCATAAACAAGAAAATACGATTATGGGACCTTCAGGGGCCTTGAATATGTAATTTTCAAATACAAGGGTGTTCAAGGACCTGTATGAATCCTGCACCAACAAATGATGTCACCAACAAGCTCTAGTTTTCATGTTTTGGAAATTTCGAGCTAGTTGGTTCATAATCTTCAAGTTGTATAATATCAAGGGAGCAACGAAAGAAGGGGAAGACAGCACATAAAGAGCTGTTATGTGGGATCTTGTACTTCTCTCAGTGCTGCTGCACTACACAAGTGGAATGTTCAAAGACGTGATGCGGCATAACCACTAAGCAACGGATGATGTGTGCCGGATTGTTCGATATTAAGGTGCTAAAGCTATCATGTCTCTCAAAAAGTGCTGTTGTAGTGGAGCATACGCACCAACGTGCGTATGCACACAGTGTGCGTTTGCACTGTGTTCAAAGCTTCCCGTTACTTTGACTTACCCTGTCAATGTGACCCTGCAGATCTCAGCGTTGTTTTTTTTTTGCACTTGAGCCACACTAGCATACGAAAATTTCTCTATATTTGCAACGTCATTGTTTTTGTTGTTGTTGTTCTTTAAAACACGAACCACAATTCTCCTTTGATGGCAAGAAATACCGACAAACGAGTAATAGACACTATAGACGAGCATGAATTGTTAACAAAGGCCTCACATTAAGCAGCCTATGCATTAATGCAGAGCATGAGCTAGTACCACAGGAAGCGCTATCGTCACATTCAATACTACTTGCATTTTTTCTGAGCAGGTAGTGAGCGTGCGTCTTGACTTGGATGGTGCTCTTGGTCTTGATCAGGGCAGAAATCTTGCTCCATTTATTTCCATGTTGTTTCTGCCAGAGAAAAGCATGGCAATTCCCAATTACGTAAGCATGCCGCAGTTTTTGCATGCCACTACAACGGTCGTCGTTAAAAGCAGCATATAAGTCCGGATGATCCACTTTGTATATCATGCATAATAAGCACAGACACCACCATACCACGAAAGTCGTTTTGCATTGATGATTACCTTGGCATTTACACCAAACAATGCAGCATGTGCTGCGAGTGTCGAAACAAGAAACATTGAGGCCAGAAACCAGGCTAACAGTGCAAAGGAGCGAAGCAAACACTTTGGGTGACTAATGTTACCGTTGCATGCTAGCATTCTGTCAAAGCTTGAAGAAGTGGCTAATTTATAGCTATCTCATCACCATGACACCCACAAAATACCGTAATATACTTGGGTCTTTAGTGTTCCACACACATAAGTTTTGACTACGAATTCTGTCCCATTAGCAACCTTTGAGAGCGCAATGATTTTGAATTCTGTATACTACATGCTAATGCCTCCAAGAAGCTTATTCTCAGCTCCTAGATGTGCTGTTCAGGCAAACACAACTTCAAGATTTTGTGGCATGATTTCACACTGCCACACTACAGACCACTCGTCAATGTGTATATATGATTTCAGCAAGTCTCAGTGCGAGAAAGTGGAGATTTGCAGCACTTGCCATGCATTTCAACAAAAGGGCTTCTTCTTCGGCCGTCCATTTCTTCCTTGACGTTGATCCGCCACCAGTTCCAGCGAGAGCAGCTGGCGACTGCTTTTCAGTTCTGAAAATGATGGCGCCAGTGCTCATCAGCATGAAGTGATAAGTAGTAATAAAAAAATACAGCATACAGCCAATGCCTCCTCTATTTTTTTTTTTTTTTCAACACCCAGTGCAAAATCTCGCTTTTCAATGAGAACCGCTGGTTTGTCTTTGTCTGGGCAGTGGTTGACGTGCAACGCCGTATGAAGGGTATAATTGCGTAACACCAGCGCCTGGCCACGCTCCCGCAGAGATGCGGTGGACACATCGCCTTTCTTTTAAATCATGCGCCTGTCGGATTTGCTCCTTCGTAATCCTTTGTCACTTGAACGAATTACGCCACTGCCTCACAGTGCTCATGGGGCATATTTAAAGCCACAGTGCATGCAGCAGTGTTGCAGTGTCACATACCCATTAGTAGCCCATATAGTGCTACGAATGGAGACGTGCCGTCTGAGAAACCCGAGTCTCTTAGGGAGTCAGCATGACAGCCGACATAGTGATTATGAAGCATGCAAAACACCACCCCATATATTTTAACACAACTAAACTACTGTAGCCCAAGTTACCGAGCTCTGTCAATGCTATGATGAGCTCCGCCGGCAACGTCTCGTCACCCGCCGTGCTGTCCCACATCAGGAATCGATGTCCGGCTAACTCCCTCGCAAGATCCCGTCCTCCTCTTGCAGATCAAAGATTTTGTGGGCGAAGAAGTTGCCCACCAACTCTCGCTCATCTCTGGCCTACCCGAGCGCAGTGTGCCGTTTAGCCCTGCACTACAAACTATTATACAAGACCAAGTGTCTGAGGTCCTTCCTCCGCAGCTTGTGCCACCAGTCAATGCACCATTGACGTACGTTTAAGCAGCAGCACGACCACAGAAGTTCCGAGCGCCGCATCCATTGCCTGCTCCTGTTTATGCCGCCCAGCCGCCACGACCTCTAGTCCACTGAGTCCCTAATCAATGGCACACTGCCGACAACCGACCGATCTGCTTTTCGTGTGGTCTACCCGGACACGTCGCACGTCTGTGCCGCCGCCGCCCACTGCACTCACGTGAAAACCTACATCCATATGAGTACGACCACACGTACACTCCCTACACCCCAGACCCCAAATTGTACCCTCCTTGACCAAGCCACCGACCAGCTTCTAATCGCTGATCTCCTACTCCACATCGTCGCTCGCCCTCTCCGATGCTCTGACGTCCCCTAACAAACGACGCGGAAAACTAAATGACGCAGTTCACGAGGCAAGAACTGCATCCTCGTCGCAAAGCACAAGCCCTCTTCGTTCGCCGCTGAATGTAATTATGCCATTTTTCAAGGTGTACCTGTACTTGCCCTTATTGATACTGGTGCCTCCATTTCCGTCATCGCCAAAAAAGTCTGCCTTCAATTCGAAAAGTGACAACGCCTTACTTGGGTTCGTGTCTTCATACAGCCACTGCACAGCCTGTGCAGCCTGTGGCCGCGTGTACCGCCAGACTTGTAATTCAAGGAGTGCCCTACACAGTGCAGTTCATAGTACTCCCGCACTGTTCTCACGACATTATTTTAGGTTGGGATTTTCTCTCCCATCACCAAGCTATCATCGATCGCACCCGTGCCAAAGTAGTCTTTTGTCCCCTTGGTGATGCTCTACCTTCGGACGATCGCCCTTCCTACGCGAAGTTGGTCATTAGTGACTACACCCAGATCCCTCCACGCGCTACTGTCTTCGCACCTGTGTCGTGTTCCGCCGTCATCAACGCCACCGCATTCTTCACGCCTTCTGCCGCTTTCGTTCATCACCACCTCTCACAGCTCCCAACCGCTCTTGTTACTCTTCAAGGTGGTGCGACCGACGTGCCTGTGGGGAATCCGTTCCCATTCACGATTACGCTGCTTTGGGGCGAATGTATCGGCTCAATAGAAACATTCGTAACCATCGCTACACTTGACGTTTCCTGATGAATCATCGGAAGTCAGCGCCCTCTCCTGTAGTTCCGTGAACTGACCCACTACTTCTTCATTACAAAAGAAAATTATTCTGACATCTATCATGAGGCACCACCTAAAGGGTACTCTCCCCCATGAACACAAAACAGGCGTGAAGGCTGGTCGATGAGAGAGAGAGTAGGAAAAGTGCAGAGGAAAGTGGACAGGCCAGATCAGATGCATCTTGCTGGCATTGAAAAACAGAAGAGGCCTTTATACAATACACAATATTGCACAACTGACACATAACAATGTGCATTTGATTGTTAGTGTAAATGGTAAAGTTTATATTTCCAGCAAACTCAAAACCAGACATGTCACATACCAGAAAGTGGAAGGGAAAACTTACTTGACTTCAACAGTGTTTGCCTCTTCTATGCACCCAGTCTCAATCTCAACTGTTCCATCAATGGTTCCGGGCCTGCACCACGAAATGCCTTCGTGAGCATCAAAACAAGACTAGGAAAGCTTCACAACAGAGCTATATTGAGCCTATACACCCGCACACAATAAAAAAATGTTATGAATGACAGTGTAGAGTCCTTAAAATTCATCTCTGAAAAGGAGAAAAAAGAATTTTCACTTGACACATGTGATTTAAATCAATGTGGCAAAGCCTTGAAAACTCTTTAACGCCTTCTAGTGATTGATTTTAATTTAGCAGCGCACTAAGGGACGAGGACTAGGAAAAGAAGGTGCACAACACGGACGCTGACTAGCAACTGAAATTTATTGAATAAGAAACATGCACACGTAGAGGTGAATAAAAAAAAAAAATGAACAGAAAACAGATAATCGTTCTGAGCAACATGTTCAGGTAGTGCTTAGGTATTAAAATTTTGCGTCACTTAGCGCGATAGAAGGTAGATTGAAGAACCATTGGAGCACTCCCGGGAGTACAAGAGGGAGCGTGCACCCCCCATAGTCACCTAAGAGAGGGCGCAAAATCTGTTTCATACATTAACTAGGGGACGGGGCGCCCTCCTAGTCACCTGGAAAGGGGGGTGCAAAATCTGACTGATACATTAACTTTATAGGGGGGGGGGGGGGGGTGCTCGAATGAACCTTTGCCCCCCCCCCCCCCCCCCTAAACAGGAACCCTGTGCACTGCTATGTTACCACTACAAATAGCCTCCCTTCAACACGGTAGGGGCCCCCAAATATGAGGGCCCCTAACGTGTCAACAAACACACCATCTTTGATTAATTATTTCATGGAACCCCTCGAATTATCTTTTGACATGCGCCGTAAAGGGCGCGACATTATCAACGTGAAAGGCCTCAAGGCCCTACCACGGCATCTTCACAGTGGCCAACTGTTAAGCTACCGTGCATTGTCCGTTTTCATGTCTGGGGTAACAGTAGCGAAGAAGCCTTGGCCCATGGTAATGGGTCTTCCTTTCCAGCACCTTCTAGTGGGTCATCTTCTTCAGCTCCATTTTCTGAAAGAACGCTGCTCATGCAGGGAGCCTGTGCTCTGAGTGCGGTGAAAAAACCTTTCAACAGTATTCAAAAGTGCTAACGAGATTAAAGGTGCTAAGAGTATAGAAGACGTGGCACAACAGCTTTATAAGTTTTGTGCAATCCAGAATGCATAAATGTTATGGGACACTCCGATCTTTACGGCCCTCTAAATAAATGTATTTATCCTAAAGTGAACAACCAGTTAGCCCCAAGTTCTGCATTAACCGTGTCAGCACCATCATTTGCTGCTAGACAAAAGAAGTCTCACCCTAAAGTAATAGGTAAAGATGTTATTTTCATCTGCACCGCTGCCTTCACACACTAATTTTAATAGCTAGGCACACTTCTTAATCTGGGTTTTTTTTTTTGGGGGGGGGGGGGGGGAGAATGAGGGGAGAAGATATTTTCAACTCAAAAAAGATAAACTGGTTTTATTGTTAGATGTAATCAGGTGTACATGTACGAAATGATAACACACAGTCAAACACATCCATTCTGAGTATGCCTTAAGAAAGAATGGGCACAAGAGCAACACGGACAAACAAAACGTGAACTTACAATTCGGGCATCAGTTTGCCACAGAGGCTTGAAAGTGTCATTGAATTCAAGCAAGTCATCGCAGTTGGCATCTCTGAAGAGGCTGAAATGGACATAAGAGATCTCAGTTGACATTTACATTCAATGGAAGGAAGTATCTACACACTACACAGGAAAAATGATGATATACGGTGTTTAAAAGGAGCAGGTGTCACAACTGGCCAAACAATGCCACAGGAGTAGCTATGAAATTTCAGTGATACAGGGAATTCTAAAGATTTGTGTAGCATGGCTGTAAAGAAGCTCAGACCCTTATAGGTGTAGAGCATTTGAATATGTTTAGGTAATGATAAAAATATGCAATGACTGTAGTAGAGTATGCTAAGAAAAGGAGAAATGTGCAACAAGGTTATGATGTGACACAGGTCTAATACTGTGAAAAATCTGTTAACAGGGGTTGTGTCAAGCAGACTTGTCTTCTTCAAGGCTAGAACAGAACAGATTTCTTTAGCGCCAGCATGTCGATGCTTCGTACCCTCTTCTCCTTCCTAACAAAGGAGAGGGCAACATAGGATACGCGGGTGCGAGTGAGGGAGTACTGTGATGAATTGTATGATTGAAGAAGAAACAGGTGTTTGTGAATAAAATGAAAATTGACACTGGTCTTGGCAAAATTTGTTGCTTAGTTACTTTATAGCTTTAGATGCAGGATAGTTCAGATTCAATGTAGGAAAAAGAAAGAATGTAGAAACACCGGACAAGCACTGCTCACCACTAAGCTTTACTAAAAAAAGGCTTCCTTACATATAAAGCTTAGTTGAGAGAAGCGTTGTTCTGTGCTTCAGTCATAGGTCTTTCTTCATCCAATGTCGAATTTGTGCTATCCAGCATCTAAAAGACTGGTCGTCTGTTGACCGTCTGCTACTCTATTTATGGGGTCAATGTCCTTTTGCTAGTTATCTGCAACTTTGGTTATTTCAAATTCGTAGCAAATGGCTTCATTCATTTCAAAGAAAGCTGGCTCGCTTTCTAATGTGTTTGCATCGAACAAAGCTCACTTTTGACGTTCACTGTTTTCAACACGCACAACAGGTAGGACAGCCTTCAATTAAATCTCGATCTGGGTACAGCCACTGCCAACTGGCATTTCGAGCGTCTTGATCGCTATGGGCCAGATCGCGATTGAAAATTGGGAACGTGCAGGGGCAGCGCCAGGATTTTTTTTTTTTTTTTTTACTGAGAGGGCACCCACGACAAGAGGGTGTCTTCGGCGAGGCAAGGAACACATGCGTCGCGTTTCGACTATACTAGCTCTTAGGGGGGGGGGGGGGGGGATATGGGCAGGGAGAGACTGCAGCCCCCCCCCCCCCCTTTATGTCCCTACTGGCGGCACCCCTGGGACCGTGTAGCAGCACTTTTATCCAGATCGGTTTTCAATCGCAGTAAAAAATATCACGCTCTTTGTAATGCATGACACCAGTACAAAAGTGCAAGTTGCAGTAAATGCAAGCATAGGTTATGATACCAGAATCTAGTACACTATACCAGTACCACTATTGCACCTTTCCACCTCTCGTATGCAATTATAAAGGGAGAACGCCGTAGAATGTGCGTTATTTCAATACACCAGGAAATGCATGGTACCAGAGTGTGATATAAAAGTGCGCCGTAGATATTCCAACACCTGGAAATAACTTTTTTTTCTCTCTTCAAGGTAATCACAGCTCCCTGTTTCCGCAAGCAACATCACTATTCCACGCAGTGCATTAGGGGATTGATTGATATGTGGGGTTTAACGTCTCAAAACCACCATATGATCATGAGACGGCGTAGTGGAGGGCTCCGGAAATTTCGGAGCCCTCCACTAGGGGAACACTGCAACTAGAGGAACAACTGCAACTTATTCATAGTAAATGCAACGCATATCGCGAGCATCGTAAACGCTGTGACGAAGGCACGACCCACCCACACTTTCCCATCACCGAGACTACATATCACATCACGGTCACACGTTGAAGAAACGGCGCTACTGTGTGTGCCTAGGCGAAATCAGAGACACACTTCATCTGCGGAGGTCTCTCGGTGTTCAGTACACCGTCTTCAATTGAGACGGGCAGGTAAACACTAAACATGACAGCGGGCAGCACGTCGCATCGCTGCGTTTGGAGCTTGCCTGCCGATGCGTTCCCATTGAAGTGGCAACTTCTGTCATTTACACGTCCAATGAAAGTAATCTATAGATCAAAATGGTACAGGAAAGAAAGCCCGCGCTCACGTTGTGTCGGCTTGGAAGTCACTCTTCGACATCCACAGACTCCCAGAAACAGACATCTTCCTCGAAGGACGCCATGAAACCGACCGCATTAACGTCGCCTTCACGCCGTATTACTTGACCACAAGCACCGTGACGGGCGCAACGCTGCAAAACTGCACTCGTTCAAGATGACATTACGGAAAGAAGGTGTTGGGGCCGGCAGTATAAAAACAAATCACATGTGCGTTTCAAACAAGTAAACAGCGCAGCCATAATGCTCTTCGGAGAACACTAGCGACACGAGGTTGTTTTATTATTTCAGTCAGCCGCATAGTGCGGCCTTTATTTCAATACTTTTAGTTTTTTTATAATTATAACAACTTAATAGTCAGGAGTGTATATAGCACGAGACGCGCACCGTCGAAAAACTAACACTGCGAGATAGTAGTGGCGGAGATAGTTCAGAACGGCCGCTTGGTGGCCATGTCCTGGTTACGTAATGCGTGCTGGCGGCCCTAATGTGGTTGTCAAATCGTAGAGATGCTGAAATTATCGGAGCGGTGAAAGCACTAGCGTTGCGTTTGGGAGGCGGGAAGGCTGACGCCTTCGGAACGCCGGCGTAAAGACGTGGCCACAAACTTGCCAATGAACTTTACTCCGCGGCGGTGTACCTCGGTCAGTTCTTGCGGCACTAACCGCGATCCGACCGACATGGAACTAGTTTCGGAGTCGTTCAGCTCCGAAAGCTGCGAGGCGAAGATGAAGGACGAGTACAAGTACACGAACGAGGAGCACTCGGACTCCATCCTCAAGGGTCTCGGCGCTTTCCGGGCTAGCAAAGCATTCTGCGACGTGGTGCTGTGCGCCGAAGGGGCAGAATACCCCTGCCACAAAGTTGTGCTCGCGTCGTTCAGCCCTTACTTCCGGGCCATGTTCTCGAGTCAGATGGCCGAGCAGACGCAGAACCGCGTCGTCCTCAACGGCGTCGAAGCCGAGACGCTACGGGACTTGATAGACTACGCGTACACGTCTAGCGTAACCATTACCCGGGCTAACGTCCAGTCGCTACTGTCAGCCGCCAACCTTCTGGACGTGGGTCCCGTCAAGGATGTCTGTTGCGCCTTCCTCGAACAACACATCGACGAGACCAACTGTCTCGGAATCCACACTTTCGCGGAAATGCACGCCTGCACTGACCTCCAGGCCAAGGCCAAGGACTACGCGTGCCGATCCTTCGAAATGGTCATGCGTCATGAGGAGTTTCTAGAGATATCGGCCAACAAGCTGGTTGAGTTCATCTCCTCGGACAACCTGAAGATCGACAAAGAGGAACGCCTCTTCGAAGGCGCCCTATCCTGGCTCAAGCAAAGCCCCGAGTCCCGTATGGAAGGCTTCGAGAAGATCTTCGAACACATACGCTTGCCTCTCATGAGCACGTATTACCTGGTAGATGTAGTGGCCACAACGCCAGCCGTGTCCCAGAACCAGAGGTGCTGCCAGCTGCTCGAGAAGGCGAAGGCATACCACCTGTTGCCAGACAGGCGGAAAGAAAGCCACCAACCATGGACTACTGTTCGGAAGAACTCCTCTATGGTCGAGGTTACTGTCCTGGTTGGAGGTGAAGATGATAAAGTGGTCCTGCGTAATGTGGACTGCTACGCCCACAACAGCCGCTCCTGGCTAAGTCTCGCTTCTCTCCCGTACGCTGTGAGCAAGCACGGCGTGACTGCAAGTGGCCAGAATGTTCCTTTTCATGGCTGGTGGTGAATACCCAGATGGATCTGTCAGCAAGGCGGCATGGCGTTTCGATCCGGCCTTGAATACCTGGTCTGAAGCAGCTCCAATGAGCGTTGCGAGGTCTGAAGTGGCCCTTGCAGCACTTGACGGCTGCGTGTATGCCATCGGTGGCTGGGATGGTACATCACGCCTCGCCTGTGTAGAGTGCTATGACCCTGCCAGCAACCGGTGGGACATTGTGCAACCGATGAAGGTCCCGCTGACGTGTCCCGCAGTGGCGTCGCTTCATGGGAAGCTGTTTGTCACTGGTGTGGCAGTCGCCGACATTGGCGGTAGCTGTGCTGACAGCGTCAAGTCCTACAACCCAATCGCCGATGACATCGACAGCATCAACAGTGTTCAGTGTTATGACCCCAAGGCCGATTCTTGGAAGGAGCTGACGCCGATGCTGATGCCACGGTCGGGTGCGGCCTCGTGCGTGTTTGACCGGAAGATCTACGTGATCGGTGGCTGGCACGTGTCGGAAGAGAACACCAACAAAGTCGAGTGCTTTGACCCACGGACAAACGTGTGGCGCTTTTGTAGGCCCATGAAAGAGCGCCGATACAAGCCTGGTGTGGCCGTTGTCGGGAACAGGAATTTTTGTGTTTGGCGGCGAAGAGAGCTGGGACCAGCATCATGCGACAATGGAGGTCTACGATGCGCAAGCGGACACATGGCTTGGCGTGTGGGAAATGCCCCTGAAAAGGAGTTGGCTCGGGTGTGCAACGTTAAGCATCCCAGTGCAAATGTTTGATGAGGAACACGAGTGGGTAGCTCCGGAAATGTGAATGCTGGTCTTGTTAACACCACACCCTAGTATTTTGGGTTTTGCTGTCGCTGTTGTACACTTTTTGGTACAGAATTAGCTTTTTTTTCTTTGCTGCTATTGTGCCAACAGGTGACACTGAATGTACAGTTTGATGCTCTGTAACAGTGCTTTCCAATCTGTGATATTCATAACTTGCCAAGGCTATGCTGCATGTAGCGAATAATTTGGCCATGTTGCATGCCCTTTTAATATTAAAGCACGAGCAGCAATACAGACAATTACTTGTTCAAAGTGGTACTGTCTGCTGCAGCTAAGAGAATTTGAACCATTTGGAACGATTACTTCATCCCAAAAGCTCATTTAGTATTGTAGATGATGATTACCAAAAGTTTGGCTTCCAAGATTATATGATGTGCAAGTTCCAAAAGATGCCTACACTTATCTATTCACAAGTTCTTACGCTATTAAAGCAGCCAAGCAGATTTTTATATCTGTACTCAAGGAAACTCGCGTCTCCTTCTGTGGTCACGGGTCACATTTGAAGCACTGTTGTGTCGCTTACAACTGTCCGCTACTAGTACTCGCCATTTTGCCATGAGCCATAATTGCCAGATGTGGTCGTCTAGTCACTAATGATAATTTCCAAGTGCCAGCTCATGCCTTATAACCAAAAGCTTTGCAAAGTTTAAAAGCGTTAAGCCATGGCCAGCGGCCATGGGTAAGCACTAGGAATATTGAGACTGTTTAATGTTCTCAGCCAGAGATGGAAGTATGCACATGTTGGAGTCTTTCCAGATGCATTGACTGCACAGTGCAGAGGTGCGAGGACTTCGCGCACACGTAACTTAACTCTCGCCTAGAAATACTGATGAGGCACGTGCATTTATTCTTTAAGAAAGTATGGTGGGCATTGTGATACGTGCGGGCGACCAGGCCATTTGTTGCTTGCTTGGCACAAACATCTCATTTTATCTTAGTCTTAGCTTTTAGTGTAAATGTGCGAAAAGAAACGAGGCCATTTGTTGCTTTTATTAACTTCTTAGTGTATATGTGCAAGAAAAACTAGGCCATTGGTTGTTTGCTAGGCATGAACATTTTATTTTTTATATTTTTATTTTTCAATTAAGGTGACCACAGCCTCCAACAACTACTCCTATTGGTGTGAATAAACGAGTTTATATTACATCGGGGTATCACATGTACATTGGTTCATTTGGTACTGCCACACAACTTTTCAGAGGAAGGAGCTTCTAGAGACTTGATCCAGCTTCAATATTGTCTACAAGCTGTAAACTAAGAACATGCTTTTATTAATCTAATCGCGAATTTGTCATCACCTATTCATGAAAACATGCTCGTAGACTGACATGTGTCTTGGGAAGTGCAAATAATTTTGTAATAACTTCAAGAGCATCAGCAAAGCCTCAGTACCTTAAAGGGCCCTGCAATACTTTTTCAGCATGTTCAGAAAATGCTACTGACCAGTACTTGAGGCTCGGGAGATCACACGAGCCAAACATTATAGTGCAGCACGCGACCTGGAATTTTCAATGGTGTCTCAGTCGGCTAAAAAGGGTTCCCTCTTCTGTGGACAATTGATACAAATCACCCCGTCATTAACCCAAACTCCATGAGCATTGGCCGATTTGTGCATAGGAGCTGCGTAGTTGCCGTGGTTGCCACGGGCTTCCTTGTACACTCACGGTCACACTGAAAGCCATGCCTTTGAAGAAACAAAAAAAATAAAATAAAAGTGCTTGCTGCAGGCCACGATGTTGATGATAAAACTCATCTTTCAGCCACCTGTCACTTCTCTCCTCGCCTAGCTTTCAGCGCGCTCATTAAGAAGAGAAAAAGTGCTTGAACTGTTCTATGAATCCCTGCAACTGCCCTCGTACTTGACGGATCCTAATATTTTTGCAGCAGTCAATTCATGAGGCATTATGCTCTTTTATTTTAATTCATTTCATTTCATGTTTATTTTCTTAAGGACCCCACTGGGGGGTATTACATAAGGGGTGGACTACACAGGAAAAAAGAACATTGGAACACGTTAATTTTCGTAGCACAGGTGATTTGTAACATTCGTCGCGAAGGATGATGGGCAGGTGGTTGAAGCAATGGAGCAGGGAAGGTCGTTCCAATCCTTGATGGCGCGGGGAAAAAAAGAAGCGGAAAAAGTGGCAGTTCTGTTGCAATAACAGGACACTTGAAGTGGATGGCTTGTGCGGTGTGAAATGTATGTCGGGGGGGGGGGGGGGAGGATGTAAGGAGCTGCATTGAGAGAAGAATGAAAAAATTTATGAAAGAGAGAAAGGGTAGCGATAGGGCGGCGAACAGAGAGGAGTGATAAACCGGATTGTGCTTTTAAGGATGAAATGCTGATGTCGTATGAGTACAGGGAGTGAATGAATCGAACGGCACGATTTTGGACAGATTAGAAGTCGTTAATGAGGTATGTTTGGGGCGGGTTCCATATGGGGGAGGCATATTCGAGTTTCTATCTGATGAGGGACTAATATGCCAGCAACTTCACATGTTCTGGTGCATGACAAGGGTGACGCTTCAAGAAGCCCAGAGTTTTATTTGCCGATGAAATGACGTTAGCAATATGCGCATTCCAAGTGAGATCGTGATACAATGCGACACCTAGATACTTGTAGGATGGTTGTGATTGTACAGGGAAGTTGGCGATATGATATGAAAAAAATAAAGGATTCTTACGGCGGGTAAACGTGACAAGTTTGCATTTGTTAGGGTTAAGAGACAAAAGCCAATTATCGCACCATTCTTGAATGTGGTTAAGATCGTTCCTGGAGAAGATTTTGGTCGTGAGTGTTAGTTACTGTCCAATAGATTACACAGTCATCTGCAAACATGCGGATTTTAGCAGGATGCGCTGAGGGGTAAGTCATAAGGCCATTTGACAATTACTTGCGAAAGTGTTGCAGGGCTCTTTTTACACATACCGTGAGAAAAGTACCGAGAAAAGTACACCAATCAAGAGTACCTTGGACAAACTCTGGGTACACCAGTACCAATGTTGGTGCCATGTAGGATCGACCACAGCTACTTGGTACCGAGGCGAATGCTATCTGCCTATGCTGAGGTAGTTCTAGTACCTACCCTGGGAAGGACCCTTTCTTGCCCTGATACCTAGGTGCCAGGATAGGTGCTTTCTAACAACCACCAGAGTGACACCCTGGGACCAAGATACCTCAGTACTAAAATCTAGGGTGCCTTGGTACTAAAATAGGTGCAATTAACCTACTATCCAGGAAACATCTGGTACATTCCTACTTTAGTATCAAGATAGCAACGTCTTAGATAGCTAATGTACGGCACTTGGTACCAAAGTAGAACCTACTTTGAAGCATAATGTACCTTACTAGGTGTGCAGACAAAAGTTCCCAAGTGGTAGTCTGAATGTATTTCTGTGTCATAGTTTAAATAGCACACAAAAGTATTTTACTCCTGCAAAAATAGGCATGTTGGCTGAAGTATTGGGGACATAATTCTCCATATATCTGCATTCCAAACAGTCGAATTAAAAATGTACAGTATTCCGAATTGAAATGGGACAGTTTAGGGCTAAGTAACGCTTATGCTTTCGTTGCCACCATTTTCACTTTGGGTCATAGTGGCGAAATTTAGACTTGATTGCGACAATCGGAGTCAACAATATCTTTTAGAGACCAGATTCGTGGAAGATTCGTGGATTTTAGAGACCAGATCTCGAGGAAGAGTGCATATTAAAAATTTGATGTCGCACACAAATTTGTGAGTGCTATACATCATATACATCGGGCTTTTCTAACAGAATGCTACATTGTACAGTTGGCACCTCCTATTATTGCCATGGTTGCCAACTTTTGTTGGTAATGATTCAAGGGCATCACCTGTATTATCTGGTACACTACTGTTATCTGCAGACAACTGATGCAACCTCAGCAATGCACCCACATTATATTTCTTGATTGAGAAGCTCCTTGATCTAGCAGTTAACCAGACAAGGAAAATTTACAATTTTGTCGCGATTTTCTACTCTGCTTTGCAGCAAATGTGATGTGCTGAGAGGATCAAGCATATTGGGAACAAGCAACACAAGCTTCGTGACAAATACGCTGCCAATTTCACCAACAAGTTATCTTGCAAAGACAGAAAACAGGGACCGCTTCGCCAAAAGTAATGGCCCTTTGATAGGACAGACTTCTGACTCGCAAGACATTGATAATCTAGCATAACGGTTGGGTTATATACAGGGTGAATGAGCAAGTTTGTTTCAACAACAAGACAATTACAGAACATGCTGAATACACAAAGGCAATAATAATAAGTGCTGCTTGATCCAGAGATTAGCCTTCATGCAGTTACAGCCTTCTAGGTTGCTATAAGTTATAAATAAGAAAGTGTTGAAGACTAGTTAATCCTGAGCTTGCATTTCATAATACATTTGATTTCGAGTGTCATGTTCAATTCGCACAAAGTAACGAAAGAATTTACCCATGAATCCAAGTGCTTTAAATGTGGAAGTATTGCTCAGTATCATGCAAGCGAATGCGATGTACAGGGAGGACAGAACATACCGGGAACATGTGGCTCAAGCTTTGCGACATACCAGATACTGTTGTCGGCAACAATGCTATGGAAATGCAGAGTTTACCTGCTTTATGTGTGTTGCCGTCGCATTGAGTGCTGTGCGACGTGGATAATAGAGAAACTGAGCCATGCTTGTTAGAAGATGCGCCGTTGACCCCATTTCGGGTAAAAACTGCGAACTTTGCACAGCGCATTTCAGGTTCCCCAACGATGAGAATGGATGCACCGGGGCGTCCTTGAAACAAGATTGGTTTTGCAAATAGATGGATGGCAAATGGAAGTCACTCTTGTAGCTCTACTTACAGCAAGGGCAGAGCTGCAAATATATATTTTGGGGTTGTATGGGAAGAGGTCGAATCTTTGTATGTTTGTTTTATGTGCAGGCTGTGTATACATACAAGGTATAAAAACTTCAGAGGTTGTCTGGGCATACAGTAGTCGAGTGGATGACAGAAGGGCAGTAGCTCACTGTTATTAATTACAACATTGCCAAATAAGGTTTAGACTCCACAAGAAGCGCGCAAGCGAAAATAATTCTCACATTACTCTTACTGGACAAGAACGGAAGAGCTCATTTTAGTCAGCCTTAACTGGTTTGGATATTTTAAACGTCTATGTGATCGCTGTTAAGTATGCTTCCTGATGCTCTTCGCAACATGGCTCTCGGAGCGCGGGACACCCACTTTAACAGCGGTCAACTCTGTACATGCAGCACATTAGCGGTGCTGCCAACCAGTGCCGTAGTCTAGTGTGACAACACTGAAGCTAAGTGCCGACGTGCTATCATTAATGTTGTCTTCCACAGTACATATGAACAGTATGGGGCTGTAAAGCTTTCAGAGTGGACTAGAGTTTCCCACAATAGCTTGGCAAATAGTAATACGTAGATGTCCTGCGATGTAATGCACAGATAGTACTACACAGATGGCAGATGTCCTACAATGTCAGGTTGCCAAGATGACAAAAACTTCAATAAAGGTACGATGACAATCAGAAAATCACAGGCACCTTTAATACATGAATAAATTCCATCAATGCAGGCTGCTTGTTGCACGATATGTGATACCAAACTTTAATTCCAAACTTTTGCGTTGAAAAGCTGATCACACTTTGTTTTTAATTACATAGCAAAGACAATGATTCTATCCAAAGACTGTTGAAGTCAAAACACAATTTATCATAATTTTTTACTTTGCAGTAACCTTGTGAGCGAATTTAACATACTTTCTGCTTGTGCTTTCAATCCTTTATGCCAGTAATTTTTGTAGAAAGACCTTCCAAATGTGGTTTTGAGAGCCAGCGTTCCAAAAATTCTGGATCCAGGCATTGGATGAATCGAAGTACCCAATAAAAGATGAAAATGACATAATTATCAAGAATGATAGAAAACATTGGCCACACAAACTACAGTTGCATTTTGTTACACATCTTAGCTCATCTTTAGCCTTAATTTGATTGCTTTTAAATATCCCTAAACAAATGCTCTCCATAAAAAAAAAAAAAAGCTCGTGGAGCACATGAAAAGAAGCTCATGATATGTCAATGGCTAATTGACAATGATTTGTCAATTCAGTCATGAGATGGCTGCACTACTCTGCAGAAAAGATAACTAGACAGACAGAACCAATAGCAAGAGGCAGTAATTTCCACTTGCTTCAAATATGCAGACATAGAGTTATGAAGTGCACAATGCAATATTGCATTGGTGATGCGTAAGTCAGTGACGACGCATGTGCAAGAAATGGGCTCTTATCAGCTACCTATCTAATGTCCTCGTGTTGCAAGTGCAGTGCTTCATGGCTTTTGAGTAAACATCTTTTAGACAAGAGCATGTTTATACAGTGAATACACAACATTATGGTGCTGCTCTTTGCCATACTTGCTATAAGACAAGTGAGCAAGCCACAACATTTCTTTGATTTGTATAGGTCGAAAACATGGCTACCAATATTAAATTTAAGCAGTCTCTGTCAATGCTGCACTAACAACGGAGAGAAAATTATAAGATTCTACTTCGATGTCCTGTTGACAAAATGTAAAAAATCTACGTATTTACATTTTTACAGCAAAAGCAGTTGCGCTGCCTATCAAAAACAAATGATCCTATACAAATATATATTGACCACTGTTTAAACTTTTGTCAACTGCTATAAATAAGATCGTAAAACACCTTCTGAATAGACACCCTTATCTATTGCCTTTTGTCATCGGTACATTCAAAATGGTTATCTTCCTTAATGACATTTGCGATACACATTTTCTGTCGTGCACTCTATTTATTGTCGATACCAAACTGCGAACAATAAATGACCGCTTCAATTTCTGGATTGCTTCTTTAAAAAAGTGCCCCGCACGTTACAAAATGGTAGTGCTGTGTGCACTCGCAATAGAAAAATAAATCTTTATTTATAAATAACTACAAAATGTCCATTTACTCTTTTACTTACAAATAACTTCTCTAGCCTACTTTGATCCGTTCACTCAAAAAAGAAGCAGTCAGTTTGCTGCATGTGGTTACAACAGTACACGTTCATTGTCAAGGAAAAGGCAACGTTTGTTCAAAACATCACCTGTGCACGTATGCAAAAACAGCGCATATGAAAAAAAGGGGATGCACATAAACTGCACGCTCGTCACACATGCCCTCATTCAAGGGGCCTAACAACTATAAATATAAATTTCTTTGTATCTACGCACGTTGTATACATAGCATTCTACTTTGATGACGATTTACACAATATCACAATGAACACTTATCTACGATAACTGCATAGTCTTTGTGTTGCGAGGCATTTGTTAGATTGTGGCTGTGCTACGTTCATCCCTTTTCCACTAACTAGGTGACAAAAAACTGCGCTGTTCAAATGGACTAGAAGTAAAGAGACAGATACAATGCTGTGCGGGACGCTGCAGCCCTTAAATTTTAGCCGCTGCTGTAGCTCGACTCGCCAAGCGAGACATGCCACACGAATCTAAAGTAATATGATCTCTCATCGATTCTCGAGTACTTTTAAAGCTCTTTACCATACCTCGCACATTTGCTAGGTACCCTAAGGGGTACCTTATGGCTGCAACAGGACCAGGTACGTGAAAACATTTGCAGAGAAACCTTGGCACGGGGTTTTCGGCACGTTTCCCCAGATATAAGCGACACCACCGGTTCAGATATGTATCCTCCCCCCCAACTGTCAGGGGGGGGGGGGGGCTGGTACTATCAAGCCCTACATGCCTAAGGCACAAATCATAAGCACCGCTACTATACTGAACCAACAATGGACTAAAGCACAAGAATGTTGTCGCGTCGTTAAAATATGTCTGAAACAGTGCCACGAGGATCGTGAGGCGGTTCTGGGTTTAAGTGCGAAAACAAGGCCTGCTCTAATGCAGAGCTTGCGGTCGCTCTGCTAGTAAACTGAAGTACCACCACACGAACCTCGACAGCAAGGGTCCCAATATTAGCGCATTCGCGGTAAAAAAAAAAAGGCAAGTTTGCAGCGTAAACAAAAACATAAAATTCACGACGTCCCTTTGTTTAAGATTGCTTCATGTTGGAGCACTCAGTTCTGGTAAAGGAGCTTTTAGTCTTGTAGTTTTTTTTTGTTTCAGCCTCTTCCTCTCCTTTTAAAGTACCAGAGATATGAGCAAAGACGTCAACGCGGTAGCTTTAGGGTGCAAACTATAAAGTCGGGAAAGTTGGAATGTTATGTGGTCGGAATGTTACGCTACCTGAAAAGCAGAGCAGAACAGCGTTCAGAACAGAGCAGAGATACAAAGTTATAAAGTATGAGACAACTATCATGCGAACTAGTCCCAACGCCCCTGCTATGATCGCTTATGTGAGACAGTGGCATTGAGTTAGATGAACAGAAGATTAGACACAACGATGAAAGAAGAAGTTCCGTGCCACATGGTGGAGCAGAGCTTCGCATTAAGGTGAGTCGTCGAAATGTCGCTCCCGATGCTCGGGCTTGCAGTCAATGCGTCCGAGAGCGACACCAAGCTAACACTGCTTCTTGCAGCATAGAAAAATAAGCACCACTGAAGAAAAAGAATGAAGAAAGGTGTGAAAAGCGTTCGAGAGAAAGGGGGGTGGGGGCGATGACCACTGCGTCGAGTCTTGTCCTATCGCAAACGTGTTGTGGAACGCGTCTAGTGAATGGTGAGTAGGCCTTCATATTGAACTGCCTCTCCTCTTCCATGCACCCACATGCTTTTTCATAATAGGTAGCTCTGGACCTGCAAAGAAATTGATTGATTGATTGATTGATTGATTGATTGATTGATTGAACCAAGTAGTGGGCATCCGAGTTTCCTACACATGATGTCTATGTAGTGTACAAAATTAAGCATGCAAGCTAGTTCAGAAACAAAGATTAATATTGTAAGTGAAAGAATAAACATCAGATATAACCCTCTGCAAGACATATTACAATTGACTATCTTTGAATGTATCAAATCTACACAATTTATTGCCAATGTTCTGGAGACCAAATTTAAAGCAAGTGGTGGCATTAAAATAAATTTTAGCACATTTCAGAGCAATTAATCATAATTACAGTATGAATAATGATTTAGCTTATTGTATAATCGGTCATGCAATATCTCTTCATAACTTCAATTCAGTGGCTAACTCAAGCTTCATGAGCTAGTTATCTGCTAGCGGTAGACATTCCTAAAGTGATAAAGTATCTTGAAACTCCTGCCGAAACACCCCACATGCAAGACCTCATTAAACACGGTACCACTTTCCCCCAGGCGACCGTCCTTAGCAAGACATTTCAACCAGAAATGATGCAGAGGATTGCCATTTTTTTGTGCAGTTCGGTAAATGGAACTCGCAAACATATTCAGTGGCAGCAAACAAGATCTGTAACCCTCGACTTGCCACCTCATTCAATGCAGCAGGCTTGAAACGAGTGTGTGCATTTGTGCTGCCTTGGCACCGCCTAAAGCAGCGCGTTCAAAACGTGTTGGTGCTGCACTGAATGTGGTGGCAAGTCAAGTCAAGGATGCATTTTCGACTACGGCGGTCAGAGAGATGACACCAAGCATTGTGGTGGCACCTCTCTCGCACCTTTGTTTGCTAGCGCTCTGAATATGTTTTCGAGTGATGTAAAGGAACCTCGGGCCACAAGAACGCTCAATTAACTCAGTGTTCACAGACTCTTCCTTTCCAACAGTGTACAAAATCAAGTCATGTCCTTAGATGAGGATGCACTGTTGCTAAAAGATAGAAATTAAGGAGAACTAACAGACAGTGCTGTCAAGGAAAGTACAGGGGATGTTATTAGTACTAAATGTAATATATATGTGAAGAAAGAAAAGTGGGCAAAAAGATAACTTGCCACCGGCAGAGACCAAACCTGCAACTTCTGAATAATGCATCCAATACTCTACCACTGAGTTACGGTGAAGGTCATCCCCCCATCCACTTTATAGGGTAAATATGCACATTTTAGCGTGGGAGTGTCAGTCGGAACCTCCTATTGCCATTACGGCGAGTGTGGAACACTCGTTTTGCCTGCTGACGTCACATAGCACGTGATCTTATTGCGGATTATTGGTCAGCTCGGCGGTTGACCAGCGATCCCTCGCATACTACCTGAAGGCGTCAAGTCCGCCAGAATGAAACCCTCGCAGTGAAGTGATTCACAGCGAGGGGCTCGTGCCAAAGAAAGCAAACTTTATGCAACAGCAATGATGGATGCGTGCATTAATAATGCATTGGTCATTACGCCACATTTGCTTAGTCACCCAGAGATTTTTTTTTAAATCCCACTTACAGTCCTTAAATGAAATTCGGTGAACACCACCAGAGTCCCGAGCACTGCAAATCCAACATATTGAATCCACAGCAGGAACTCCTGAAATGCATACACAATAGTTAACAATAACATTACTATTGACTTTCCATTCAGAAATAATGCCCAGTTGAGACTCGTCATAATAAAAGTGCCTTCGAACTACCAACACCTTTGTGATACGATAGTCTTTAATAAGCATAATAAAGCATTTGAATAATAGAGGGAGAATCATCCTCGTGAATATCATGACACAAGCAATCTTATAAGCTGGAGAAGTGAATGCTCTTGTAAATATAACCTCCCGAAAAATGAGAGCTTCTTTCAACAAACACCTGATGGAGGTTCTGGGTACTGATCCCCATATCTCTCGCACATATACCCCTCAATCATGAATTATGACCAAGTGTCTGACAATGTGCCAGATTTGCACAACCTAATTCTCAGGCACTCAATATTAAATTCCAAGACAGAAAATGAAGTATTATACCCTTGTGTGCGAGTATTAGAAATGAATTCTAATTATAGTACTATATAGTTAGCAATTAATTATCCTGCAGTCATACACTTTGGATTCTCACGTAAAAGGAATGAAATCGTGGGCTCAAAATGCATGCACAATTTGTTTTTGGGTTGTGTTTATCGAACATGTAGTGCCTTCATCAAAATGGTCAGCTGCAGTCATGTGCAGCTCATTGTGGTCAATGAACGACACAGTGTTTAAACTGGAGGCTCAATTGATCATAAGCACAATGCTTTATGGTCTTTCTAAGCCACTGTAGGCCAAATAACTGGCAAAAATAAGTTGCTTCTACATCTGTGGAACCTACCCCAACTCTTGGGAGGCCACTGCTGGTGAACACAACAGTTCTGCTCGATTTCTACACTTTTCTCGTATAGCAAAAGCCTCTCCACATATCGTACACGGTGCTTTAAATAATGGATGCAGGCATATTAGACATGTTGATCGGAGTGCCTTACAAGCGGAAAATTCGTGCATGGTGCATCACCCCAAGGCCGAGTTGAAAAAAGTTTATCTTTCTACTTTTATCTACATTTAACTAGATAAATAAATAACAAGCCGGTGGTGACACACTAAAGTGACAAAAACTACACATGGCGTCATGACATAGCTTTTTCGCAGCCTGTAAGACTCCGAAAGGATAAAAAATTTCATATAGGAGGTAACCCCGGATGTCGGTGCATAAGAGGGTGCATCATAAAGCTGTCGTGTACTCCTGTCGTGGCATGACAATATTTATCTTTTTTTTTCTTCGTAACAGTTGAAACACTCTCACATTCATTCACGGTGACTGGAATGCCGTCATAACCAACCCGGATATAGCGCATTATCGGTTATAAAAGGCAGTGTCGTAGGTACAGTGCAACGAATATATGTTTATAACAAGTTTTAGGATATAAGGAAGCATTTTTATGGCAGGTGTGACTATTTTAATGAGCTTTCAATTACAGCTGATCACACAAATGGTGCATGGCACTTCTTTGGTGACATAGTATTCGCGAGCAGGTGCAGGACAAACGCACCGCACACAATCTCTGAATCCTGGGCTCGGGGTATTGTATATAAAATTTGACAATTCTCATCAACTGAATAATCCCAAATGGGATAGGGGGCCACGAAATAAGCCATACCACTGCTCGTTTCCTTCGTTAAATATGCGACACTCACCCACATACGATTGATGAAGATTGCAAAGAGGAACATTTGCATCAGCGCGTGAGCATTGGCGATGCGCCAGAACCACATAATGATCCACATCATGGAAGACCGAAGCACCTCTGTTTGAGCAGCCTGCAAACCAAAAGAAAACAGAACAAAAAGAAAGGTGGCAGAAGTCATTTTTATCTCTCTCTCTCTGGTAACAGCTATCAGAGCTAATACAAGTTAGATGCTCAACACATCACACAGGTAGTGTCTGATAAGGGTGAAAAGTTACGATGGGAGAAGTTGCTGCAACACGGGGTATTCTGGTAGCATTAGCAAGGAGGAATGCAGATGAAAAAAAAAATGCCCACTTGAGGAGTTTACACAGCTCACAAACTAATGAACATAGCAGCTATTGTCCTTAGCAACGGACGCTATGACTGTCCCCCTCCATGAAAGCCCCTTAAGAAGCTATTCTCAAAAGCTCACTACAGGGCGAAAAGATCACATTTAGCATGCACTGGTTGACTGAGCGGCTGGTTAGCAAGCACCAGAAAAGAGAGTAAGCCTGAGCTCACAATTATGGCAATAAATAAGTATGAGAACTCTCCTTCAAAAATCGCGAGGGCAATCCTGAACAGCGTCAAATATCCTACCCCTACTGTCATATTTGTTCTTTTTATAAATTCTTGTTGGTTTACAAAGCAGCTGCACAAGCTTTTCCGATCATGATTTTAACAAAATGTCACTACCCTGGATAGGGGACAAGGGAGCACTACCAGATTTCCTCGCTGCAAAGTGCTGGCGAGAGTGGGGTGGAGATTCTAGTACGCCTTCATCAATGTCTCTAACTGGCTCAAAATGCAAGCGTGGTAAATATCGACAATGCAGGAATCTGATCATATAGCACAGCTCCACAGGCATGGTTGAGTACAGCGTTGGAAGTTTAATTTACTGACACAGTCAAAATGGTGGAGCGAAAAGCGCTTTACTCAACTGCTCGCTTGAAACAGAAGAGAGAGGTGGCCGGTTTAAGATATACTGTTTAGTAAGCTTCAAATGCGCACCTATGTCGTAGTTTGACGTGCTCAACAAGTTGAATTTTTTTGTCTCTTTAAACACATATCCAGTGTTCTAATATAAATTACATAAAAGAACAGCACCCTTGCCAATCGACTGTAATGTTAACGGGAAAAAAAAACGACAGTACCCATCATATTCAGCCTTGCTTTGATGTCATGACTTCTCGAGCTCATTTTTTTTTGGTTACCCCTTCATCCCGACCAGGTGCTGCAGTCATGAGTTGCATCATGCAGGATTGACAGGGACTATACCAAACAAAGACTGAAATTCAGGTAAAGTAGGAAGCCTCAAAGTTTTTTTTTAAGACTTCTCATCAATTCAAAACACACTCAGCTGTTTCAAGGCCACCAACATTCCCAGGTGGCCTCCTTTCTATAGAGTGACTAGGCATGTGTGGCACTGCATGCAGTTTTAATGACCTGATAGGAATCGGTGTACTTTGCTTTCCATGATTAACTAAATCATTAGCAGTGAGGAAAGAGCACCACAAGGTTTCTTTTTCCTACATAAAAAGGCTTAGATCTCATTATCAAGGCTCCAAGTCAACACGGATAATTTACTTACATGCGTCAAGGCATAACTTACCTGTGAATCACTCTGAAAGAAGGAACAGTTTACTTTAATCAACAGTTAACGTTAGTCACACAGTGCAATCAAAAGAGATTATTTCGGCCGCACCATGTTCAGAATGCCACCGATTTCTGGTAATACAAGTTTTCTCAGCCTCAAGACAATGCAATCTTCATATAAGGTGGTGTGGGGATGCTGCAAAGAACATCACCAAGAAATCCATGTCGACTTCGTGCTCACCTAAGTTAGGATGAGCATCAGCTAGTTGAAAGGCACACAAGAATTTTTAGATGTAATTAGGGCTTTTCACAGCTCTTTCAGTTCGATACAAGGTTCAGAATACTGAACGTGACCATCTTCACATGTCTTTTGTGCATGTATGTTATGCCTGAAAAGTTCATACAAACTTACAAAATGGCTCAATGATGGCTGGTAGATCTTCATCACAGCGAACACACGCAAACACAAAAGAAGTAAGACAACACAAGCGTTAAAAGCACCGCTTGCGTCGTGAAGGCAGGCACATGTGGCTCACGGTCTGCATGTGCCTGTCTTCATTCCATACTTATTGTGAGGCACTCCATGCAATAATCATGTCCTAAAGTATAACCGAACAACAAGAACTCTCTATTTAAGAATAGGTGCCTGTACTTCCGTCATAATAAAGATCGGTATCTAGGTTTCTCAAGTTCTGAGGCCAAATTTTTTTCAGAAATGACTCGTGTATGTGATTGGGAAGGAAACATTTCTTCAAGATGGCAACGTTGGCTGACACTTCGCTCAAACTTCTCTCCCCCCCCCCCCCCCCCCCCCAACCGCAACCCAAGCCTTCTCTAATGCCCCAGCCATGGTATGAAAATTTTTTCACAATTGTGGCCTGCAAGGTAAGGTGAGCTCGGGACAACTGTTCTATGCGCAAAAACTGTCTCTACAGTGCAGATTCTTCAGCAATTCACCTCCTGTACACATCCAATAGCACGCCTCATTCACTCACATTTCCAGACATAAAAGGATGAAGACATGCCAGAACTTCTGAGATGGTTGGTAATATAACTGAACGTTGAACCCCACGAGTGAGCTACCCACCTCTTTCCTTGAGCCAGGCGTCTCGAGTAGTATATGATATTCGTTGATGTAGCGGTCCCAGAAGAAGCAACTGATGGCCATCTGAGTGCCAAAACAGAGCACCACAACCATTATCTTCTTAGCCGGATGCTGAACCACCGAGAAAGACGAACCACCTGTAGAGTGGGCATATATCGAGTCAGTATGGAAACAATCTTTCTTCATTTAAGAGGTCTGCAGTTAACGTTTCGACGAAAATACAACAACGACCGCAGGACTGAAGAAAGACAAAACAACATACCTAGGCCCGGACATATTAGTAGCTGCTGTGTTCATTGGAGAGACTATTCCTATATACATAGCTGAAATGCATTAGAGAAATATTAAACCTATAAGACATCATTGAAATCATTGTTTATATGCAGATGTGATGTCTGTAACTTTTATGTAAGACCTTTTATAACCGGTACTTTAAAAGTCAGTGCCAGCATTCTTTTTTTCTTTTTAGAAGATTCAGTCAGCTGGCCCAACTTAGACTAACTATTTTCTTCCATGATCCCTTGACACCTGCGGTACTTTTATGACTGGAACATATGTCATAAAATGTGAAGCTAAAAAAGAATACTTGGCTGAAAAATTAGATCTGCAAATTATGTTATAATACAATGAAAAGAAAAACAGTAATATCGCATTAAGAAATTGGCACTCAATATTGACTTTTTTCCCTTCTACTCAATTACTGAATTCAAGTGAATTAAACTAAAACATTGAAAAAAGAACGAATAAGGAATGGGTAGCTATACCAGCTTTAACTACCCTCACTATCTAGCTTACACCTCTTCATATCTGGACAACAATTTTTCAGCACTGTCAACAAGAAAACAGTATACATATTAAAGGACATTAATGACAACAGCCTACAAAGTAACGGCAACATTCACCTCACAAAAATGCGCTAAATATTCGACCACAGCAACCAGCATCTTGAAATTTACATCGTATCACTGATGTTGGGCCAAATCGTTGCGGTTTTTGTAGAAATTTGAAAAACAAAGGGCGAATTGTAGCCTTCACTTGAAATTTAGTCACGATCCTTTAAGGGACGCAAATAGACTGAACAAACTAAGTTTCAGAAAATTTCGCAGAGCTAATGAAGCCAGAGTACGAAAAATGCACCTTAAAATATGTGACTTCAGGCACTAAAATTTCAGTGCGAGATTTAGAGATAAACCTTTATCTTTATTTTCCTTCTTCATTAAGAACCCGTTGTGATGAAATTCACCAGATTAGAGTTCTCAGAGTATGATTCATCGAACTAAATCAATTCATCATTTCACTTTAGTGGCCCAAAAGCAATAGGCAAGGTGCATGATAGTGGAGGGCCTCGAAATTTGACCACCCGAGGTTCTTAACACGCAATGAAATTTACCTAGTGAATTACATAAGTGAATGCAATTTCTTTCTATATCCCCCCCACCTTTTTTTTTTTTGTCGCGCACCCGTCGAAGCACAATCACCACTCGACCGCGAATCGCAGACACAATTCATGTACCCTATGCAAAACCTGCAAACCTATGCAAACCTATGGAACGCCTATGCAAAATACCGCGATAATGTAATGATCGACGCGGGACTCGACCAGAACCAAACGCGGCGATGAGCGATCCTCTGTTCGATTGCGGCTGCCACGCTGAAACTTAGGCCCAGCCTTGCATCACGAAGAATACTGGAAGACTTCGGCCGTGAACGACCACAAACGATCGCAAGCTGTCCTTCCAGTAAGGCAAGCCTGTATAGTGGCCGAGTAAAGGGCTCGGGCGATGCGGGGGCGGAGAGGAGTCAAAAGTATGTGTTCATATCTTTAAATACCCAGCCCGACAAAAAAATAAGTATCTTCCCAGAAATCACCCTAATGGGATGCGAAGCAGCAGCGTTGCGCACGGACGCGATCGGCATTTTTTACTCGTGCATCGTCGGTATCATTGGTCTTCCGCTGCCGACGCTTGCGTTCGGCTCCCTGGCTCGCGCCTTGTCGGTGTTGCAGGTGCGACGTCACCATTCGCAAACGCGATCGGCTCCGCTAACCCTAGTAACGCAGGTGACGGCCGGGTTAGGCCAAATCGCTGCGGCGCATTATTCGGCGGGCTTTCCGGTGTCCTCTCCATCGCAGATAAACGAGCCGAAAGAATGTTCACTCGATGTGCGCTCGAAAGTTGCGAGCGGTGGAGAGAGTGAAACGAGAGAGATGTGACACGCATCGAGCGCACGGCAGGCGGGGGAGAGAGTGACGTCATCGCGCACTGAGAGTTGAAGTCGTTACCTACATGGCACGGAGACACGGACGGACAGTGTTACACAGGCTAGTCAAATAGCTGATTCGCATATAAAAAGAAAGTGACGGCACGTCTTGATTCAGGCAGGAATAATAGCCAGAACTACTACTTTTATACCAGAGCTTGTGAGAACCACGCGCACCGGCTACCAAGAGATAGCGCCACGTGTCGCGCAGTAGCGGTGCGCGTGTACCATCAGCACTCTTAAAAAGGGCCAGCCTGCGTGCTGCCCGGGAGAGAGGTGCCTTGGCTGCCACGAAATACGGAGGCTGTCACCCGCGCTGGTTGATTGCTGCTTCCCGGAATCATGATCGCTTCGTAGCCGTCTCGTCCCTGGGCCGACCCTGCTATATACCATGTTAAGTTAAATAAATGTTTGTTCTGACGTGAAGCCTCCGTTGTCCTCGCTTTACCTACAGACGGGACGCAGCAAGCCCGATACCCACAGTTGGCTTTCCACATTGGGCGCCATATGTGGGGTTCCGGTCTACTTTAAACAGCAGGCGCTCGCAGATGCCGAAAAAACTAAAAACAATTATTAGTGAAAATTTTAACGATGATATGCTGGCACTAAAACGCAAACTGACAAGAACCAACTCCACGAAAAAACCAATCGCCAGTGCCGCTAACCCTGACCCCTGCGGACCACATGGCAGTTCACCGGCAACTGGCCCGTTCCCGTTCACCAGCGGAGCCAGAAATTTTTTTTCGGGAAGAGGGTGGGGGGAGTTAAACCATACTTTACGTATAAGAAAGGAAAAGTAGACAATCACTCGTTTGTAGCCCGAAGCCACAAAAATTCCACATGGATTTCTCAGAAAGAAAAGCTTCTTAGTTGCCGAGATATTCGTCCTAAGCCCCGGACTAGCATCGGACATGTTCTGTCTTTGAGCTCACAAATAAAGACAGAACATGCCCGATGCTTTGTCCCCAGCGTGAGATGACACGAAACGATAGCTGATTTCACCATTTGTTCTTTGTTATGAAAACAGTGGGCGAGTAGCAAGCGCGAGTTCGGATCCAAGCGGGCGGTGGCGTCTGCATGGATGTAGCCATGTTTGCTTCCTAAACCCAGCTACTGGCGCTCATGGCCACGACAAGTTCACTGGCGCAATAGCCGCCTAAGGCAACTGGCTGGAGGAAGGCCAGCTACGGTCACGTGATCAAGCATGGCAGCACTTATGCACCCCTGCGGAAAGACCCCAGCGTGCAACGCTCGCCACTGACCGCGCATGCATGCATATACGTGGGTACGTACCGTTGGGCAGAGACTTGTCGACGCCCTCGAGCTGCACCATGGGCAGGTAGTGCTTGGACGAGAGCAGCCGGCGGCGCAAGTGCAGGAAGCAGCCGGCCAGGAAGGCAGCGAAGCCGATGGTGTCCGCCACGCCGTCCACCATGTAGCCGGACGTCTGCCGCACGGACATAAGCCGCACGATGCCCATGCGGGAACGGGCAACCTGCGAGGAGCCACAAGAGGCTCATAATATACAAGCTAACATAACTTATCCTACATAATAATAATAATAATAATAATAATAATAATAATAATAATAATAATAATAATAATGTAGTAAATAAGAAAGACGTTGATACCATCAGGTCAGCTATCATCAGCACAAGAAAAAGGCACGAGATCGGCGATCAAGCACCGTCATCTGGGTCCGCCTGCGTTCCTTTGGAGCTACCACCCGCTTGCTCAGTCCTTCAATAAGCCCCCTTTACAACAACAATAATAATAATAATAATAATAATAATAATAATAATAATAATAATAATAATAATAATAATAATAATAATAATAATAATATCTAGAGTTTAATGACCCAAAACCATGAGAGATGCCATAGTGGAGGGCTCTGGAAATCTTGACCATCTGGTGGTGTTCTTTATTACGTGCACTGACGTCGCTTAGTACAGGCGCTTCTACCATTCCGCCTCCGTCGAAATGCGACCGCCGCAGCCGGGATCGAATCCGCGACCTCCAGGTCAGCAATACCCTAACCACTACACCCTCGCGGTGGGCATAGGCCACATACCCTACAAAGAGGCTAACCTTCGCGACCAACAGCTGATTCGTAATAATAAGCGAAGCTCGGCCAATTTAACTCAAGCTATCACAGATAACGTGCATATGCCGTTCGACACCAGGAAGTACTGCGCACGCGCAGGTCAAATTGGAGGCGTCGGGAAGACTTGAGAAATAAAATGACATGCAAGGTATGATAATAGCATAAGTATCTCTTGCGAGGAATAATAATTATTGTCTGCAGTATCACGCGCCAAGTTGACGGTGCAATTACGAGCCACGCCGAACAGTGGACCGAGGAAAACTTCAACTTATACCGTAGAAAAAAAAAAACTGACATCTGGGCTGGCTTGTCATAGTTTTTTTTTCTAACACCTTGAAAACAGCACGTAATACACCACGGAGAAGAAAATGAACCAGAGAGGAGTTCAGTCCTTTCATATTTTCTTGTACGTGTTGTAATGCGCGTAAGCCTCAACCACCCGGGCTTCTTTGACGTGTGCCTAACTACATGCACAAGGATGCTAATCACCCGGGTGCTGCCTCACAACCGGTTTATACTTAACCCGTCACGTCTGCACCACTTTCAGTTAGAGCTGACCTAAGATATATGTGTATTGCTTCAACTCGCGGTTCACAAATAATTGCCGTGTGGGTGGAATAGGCCCCGTGTGGCGCCGTCTTCAATAAATTTAGTCACATACTTGTATAACAAGGCTATGTACTCGGCATTTTAAGGACACCGAAGATACTTTGTTAGGCGAATCATTTCGCCGTCGAGGTTGCGCACCGTGACGCTCGCGATACTGCCGGGACGTAAGTAGTCGTTCGTCCGGCCGCATGGATCGCCGTAGAGGCCTTAGCTCGATCCTAGATCGCCTTAGCTCAACCTTAGATCGATCTAGCTCGACCTTAGATCGCCTAGAGGCTTAGAGTTCAGTTCAGGCTGTCAAGGTGGATGGACGTGTTTTTTGAGCGCTCCGGATCGACTGCGCAGATAAGTGTTTTTGCATGTTTTGAGCTTGTCTCTATAATTATAAGGCAGCGGTTGAAATCTTCGTAGCACTTATTTTATGGTACGGCTTTTTCGGGGGCCAGTCACCAGGTATTTATTAGTTAGTGCGGGTGTGTGTGTTTGAATTTTTTTTTGTTTTTTTTTTTGCCTCCCCGTTGGGGAGGTGCGCGTACATTGAACACGCAAATTTTTGTAGTAGAGCTTGGACTTTTTTTTTTCGTAGTGCAGGGCTCGAGTTTAGTAATTATCGAGTATAGGGACAATTGGTGTCAGAAAGGCATGGTTAAAAAGACTAAAGTGTTCAGGATGTGGAGTGGGTTTGAAAGTGGACCCAAGCGTAGAAGCGGATGGAGAAGAGGCTGACGCGAAGTGTAGGCAATGTGAGGTCGAGGAAAAAATGGAGAAAATGATGGTTGCCCAGAGTGAACTGCTGATGAGAATCGCCAAACTCGAGACTGCGTTGGCGACAGAGCAAGAAAAAACGAGGGCAATGGGAGAAAGACTGAAGTCCGCCGAGGAAGTGCTAGCGAAGCTGAACAAAGAAGCGACCTACCGAGAGAACAGTAGAGAACCAGCAACCAGAACGGTGGAGAAGGAAAAGCAAGCAAGCTTGGAAAAAACAGGTTTAGCCGGTTCAACTGTCGCAAGGCCCAGCTTCAGCGAGGTAGTGGTGGGGCAGGAAGGGAACAAAGCAGCCAGCGTCACAGGTGCAAGTAGCCCCCAGGTGCAGAACGCTCCAGCGGAAAAGTCACAGCATGTGATAATCGCCGGAGACTCAAATTTAAATCGATGCACAGAAGCCATCAAAGAGAGGGTAAGAGGTGACAAGAAGGTTGCAGTAGGGGCGTTCCCAGGACGCAAGCTGGAAGCAGTCATGAAGCAAGCGAGCACAAAGCTCAAAACGACAGCTGATAGACGCAACCTCGTGATAATTTCAGGCGGTTTAAACGATGTCCTAAATGAAGATGCAGCAGGACTAGCAGCCACACTGGCGAAAGGCGTCGATGACATGCGCGCCACTTTTAAGGTGCAGGTAGTGATATGCACGATACCGGAGGTACCGGTGCGTGATAGCAACCTGCAAAGAGCGGTGGTCAACGCAAACCAAGAGATATGGCGGATGAGTCGAGAGAAAGGCTTTGAGGTGGTGGAAATAAACAGAGAGGTGCATAGGTGGGGGGGTTTTCAACGAGACAGAATTCACTTCGATGGGCGGCTAGGTCACGAGGTGGGTTGGCGACTTGCAGGACACGCAGTAGCTTTTTTGGGGGGCAAGCGAGCCCTTCGGGGTGCAGGATAGCTAGTAACGAGGAAAACAACCAGGGAGACTCTTCGACAGGTGGTATGGACAGATACGATTCCAAAGTGGCACCAATATCTAAGATACGTAGAGTCCGGGGCATAAATAGACGTAGCCACGAGCGCCGAGCCAATTCAGACATAGGGTATACTAACATGCAGGGTGGTAGGAACAGGCTGAAGTGGGAAGAGATAGAAGAACAGCTAAGGGAAGAGAGGCCGATGGTATACGGTTTTGTAGAAACGCATCTCAGGGACATGGAACAACCTCCGAACAATCCGGACTACGCGTGGGAGTATTGTAATAGAACAGAAGGCAGCAGAAAGGGGGGTGGTATTGGGGCATTCATTCATAAAAGTACAGACTGGCAAATGGTCAAGCAGGAGTGCAAGGAACTTTATGGCTAAAAGGGAAAGTGGCAGGTCAAATGACACTCCTTGGTTTCGTGTACTTGTGGACGGGAGCAAAGGCCAGAGAGGAAAACCAGGCAACGGTAGAGTGTATATCAAAGGACATTCAGGAGTTAGGAAGAGAGTGCGAGATAATTATACTAGGAGACATGAATGCGCACATAGAAGATATAGATGGGTATACCGACCCGACAGGCAAAATGATCATGGATATGTGTGAAAGGCTTGATCTGATCATTTGCAACAGTACCGAGAAGTGTGAAGGGCAAATAACATGGGAGGTAGGAAGGCTTCAGTCGACGATAGATTATGCACTGATGTCACATAGGATGTATGATAAGCTCAGGGAAATGCACATAGATGAAGGTGGCTCCAGAAGTCTGGGTAGCGATCACAAACGTAACAAGCTAAGTTTTGGAAGAGCAGTGAAAGTGGGAAGGAGACAAGATGAGCAACTACAGGAAAATTTTTATCCAGAAAGGCAAATTGAAATAGCCACTAAACAAATTGAGAAAGTAATCACGGAGGATAATAAGACAGTGTGGACATACACGAATCTAATTAGACTCTTTGAGACAGAGCTTGCTAAGACGCGTGACAAGTCACCCCGGAAAAGAAGACACAAACCCAAAAGTTGGTGGGATGAGGAAGTTAAGAGAGCCATAGCAAAACGCTAGGAAGCCTCTAGGGAACACAGACGTGCTAAGCAGCGGGGTGAACCGACAGATGATGTAAATAGAAAATGGGCAACCTTTCTAAGCTGTAGAAGGGATGCATCCCTTCTGATCAATGAAAAGATTAGAAGGAAGGGAGCTCAGTGGCTGGCAGAAGTACATAAAAAAGATAGAAAGGCAGCTGCGAAATTTTGGAACCATCTAAACTCCCTAAGAAATGAGACGAGCCTAGAGCAGAACTTTATAACTACAGCCCAAGGTGCTAGGCTAGAAGGGGACGAAGCTATTGAATATATAAGAACAAGGGTGACAGAAAAATTTCAACAAAGAAGTACTTTATGCACCACAATAGACAAAGACGAATCAAGTGGTGCAATGGCTCCATTTTCACAACAAGAGTGGGAAAGGGCTGAGAAAAGGGTTCCTAGTAGTACATCAACAGGCTCAGATGGCATTCCAATTAGGCTGACAAAAACATTAGGTCCGAAGTCTAAGCAGGCTTTGAGAAAGGCAGTGAGTACAATAATAATCGATGGTGAAGTTACCGATGGATGGAAACTTAGCAGGATGAGCATGATCTATAAAGGAAAGGGGGACAAAGCTGACATAAACAATTACCGTCCTATAACAGTGACATCAGTGGTCTACAGGCTGGCTGTGCAGATTATAAAGGAAAGACTGCAGGCGTGGATAGAGGATGAGGGGGTGCTGGGGGAACTGCAGAATGGGTTTCGGAAACACAGGAGGTTGGAAGACAATCTGTTTTCACTGACGCAGTGCATCGAAATAGCAGAAAAAGAACACAGGCCCCTGTGGCTAGCATTTTTGGATATCAAGGGAGCGTACGATAGCGTGGTTCAAGAGGAATTGTGGAGAATACTGGACGCGCTAGGCGTGGTACATGTAGTCACTAATCTTTTAAAGGGTGTCTATAAAGGTAACAAGGTAGTTATAAAGTGGGAAAAACTGGTATCCAAGCCTGCAGAGGTAAAACGGGGGCTTAGGCAGGGGTGCCCCCTGTCACCCTTATTATTCATGATGTACCTACAAGGATTAGAGGCAAAATTAGAGGGAAGTGGACTGGGCTTCAACCTCTCTTTAGTCAAACAAGGAAAACTTATTGATCAGGCACTACCAGCATTAATGTACGCAGATGATATAGTGCTAATGGCCAACAACAAGGAAGATTTGCAGAGATTGATGGACATCTGCGGTAATGAGGGAGATAGGTTAGATTTTAGATTCAGTAGGAAAAAATCAGCAGTCATGATTTTCAATGACAACGAAGGTAGTTAGCTTAGAATACAGGAGGTCACGCTAGAGATAACAGATAAATACAAATATCTGGGCGTATGGATAAGCAATGGGACCGAGTATCTGAGGGAACACGAAATATACGTGACGACTAAAGGTAACAGGAATGCAGCAGTCATGAAAATAGGGCACTGTGGAATTACAATAGGTATGATGTTGTGAGAGGAATATGGAAAAGGGTCATGGTTCCTGGGCTGACGTTCAGCAATGCGGTCTTGTGCATGAGATCAGAAGTTCAAGCAAGATTAGAAATTAAGCAACGTGGAATAGGTAGGCTTGCTTTAGGAGCTCACGGGAATACACCAAATCAGGGAGTACAAGGTGATATGGGATGGACATCATTTGAGGGCAGGGAAGCTAGCAGCAAGATAAAATTTGAGAAGCGATTGAGAGAAATGGGGGAAGAGCGTTGGGCTAGGAAGGTTTTCAGCTACTTGTACATGTAGAATGTCGATACAAAATGGAGGAAGCGAACCAGGAAGTTGACTGGTAAATACTTAGAAAACAGCAGGTGGCCAAACCAAAAAGAACTATCGGTTAAGAAAAAAGTGAAGGAAACGGAGACTGACATGTGGAGAATGGGCATGATTAAGAAGTCCGCACTAGAGATCTATCGAACTTTTAAGCAGGAAATTGCCAAGGAAAGGATCTATGATAATACTCGGGGTAGTTCTCTACTGTTTGAGGCCAGGACGGGAGTACTGCGAACCAAGACATATCGGGCCAAATACGAAGGGGTCGACACAGTATGCAGTGCGTGTGGAGAGGAAGAAGAAACTGCCGAACACTTGATAATGTTCTGTAAAGGGCTTCTCCCTATAGTTCAGGATGATGGCGCAGAGTTTTTCAAAGCACTGGGATTTAGGGACAGCGAGGGCAAAATAGACTTTAAGCGGGTAGACTTAACTAGAAGGAGGTTATCTGATTGGTGGCTAAAGTCAAGGCACGAGTGAAAATTAAACCCTTCACTGCAAAGTACGAATCCTCAACTTCATTATTTAAAGGAAAAAAAAAAGATAAATGTAATGGTTAGTTCACTAAGTATTACGGCTAGGTGGCGTTAGCCGCCGCCCGATCTAAAGGGTACAGCCACATCCATCCATCCATCCATCCATCCGAAGAGATATTCGAGCGAACGCCACATCCACGCACCTGTCCATCGAAGGCATCGAGGAAAGTTCGTAGCGTCATCAAGAGAACGGCGAGCCGCTGCATGGCCAGGCTCTCGGCCGTCACCACCTTGGCAGCGGCCAGAGCGCTGATCACACCCGCCACGCTGATCATGTTCGGCGTGATGAAGTAGAACACCTCCGTGAACCGCGTCACCTGCAGGAAGAGGGTTTTTTTGTTTTAAAGACGATAGTCTTTCTTGGGGACCTTCGACGGAAAAATTTTAGTCTGTATGTTTGTCTGTCTGTTAATTTGTCTGTTTGTCCGCCCTAACGATTGCTCAAAAGGCCATACTCAATCGCCACGCCCACCAATATTGCTCAAGGTTTAGCGCTCACAGTGTTGCGATTATCAATTAAAAAGCAATTATTGCGTATGTTTGAGGCGCCATAACAACACTTCGAAGTTTTGTATGTCTGCCTTTATACTAGAAGAGGCACACACAAATACCTATAAGGAATGTAGCGTTTATCGCGCTGCGCTAACAGTGCAACGCGATGCTCAAAAAGGTGTTTACTACACTTTGCTACAATGACACGGTGGTGGCACCTGCCCGTTGCTTTGCGTTCTACACCTTATCACCTCCTAGACTAGCGCGCATCTTTCTCCGCGGGCCGCACGCCTTCGTTTTCGAAGATAACTGCCAGATGGCGCTTGTTTCTAACATGCCTTAGAGTTACTGTGTATGCTACCTTTAGGTCGGTACAGTAGCATATACAGTAATTCTAACGTGCCTCGATGCTCTCGTTCGCCTCCGCTACACGCTCGAGGCACTATAACGCAGCGCCTTCGGAATACCCTTCACCGATTTTCTTGCGCAGAACATTAAATAAACGTTTTGTTCCCTTTCTCCAGACGCAAGACTATCGTCTTTCGATGACATTTGCGGTGTAACATGTAGATTTGGAACCAATTTTTTTTTTCGAAATCGCGTTCTTGCGCACAAATCGCGTGACGTCACAGATAGACTCTCTTCACTAAGTTACAGTGTAGCAAAGTGCCTTAACATGGCGGTGACCATGACTTTTCTTCTCATTAGAGTGTGTCAGTGCTGGGGAGGACCATTCCCTCGCTGTTTCGCGCTACCCCTGCAGCCAAATTTCTGCAGCCAGGGTGAATACAAAGGAAGGGGATGGGGCACCGGCACTGTAGTATGGTGTCACCATTTCTTGCTCCCCGCGTTCGAGTAAGAGTTCAAGTAGCACGTCAACCAGCTAGCGCCACATGATTGTTACCATAGTGAAGACAATGAAAACCACGTACACAGCAGTATACCATGCAGCTCGAAGAAGACGGGAAAGGAGCAAGCACTGTGCCATACTTTTGGTAGGTCGAGGCGTAGTTTGAATTTCACTTCGGTTGGGGAATCGGAGAAGGAGGGAGGGGGGGTCTAATCTCATTCCCGTATGCATGTTCTTGTGCGTGTTCATATGTCTAAATTAACACAAACAAATGCGGGGGTGGGAGGTACGTGTAAAAACTTTAAAGGGCATAGTTAAGTTGGTGTACGCGCAAGGGGTGCCAATTCTGCCCCATACTTAGAGTCGGACATGTCCCGCGATTGTCGAAAGAGCATGTTTATGGCGACGCGTGTTTCTGACAATAACAGCAGAGGGCCCCTATAGATGACGTTGCATTCCCAAAAAAGTCCACCACCCACCTTTGACCCCCCCCCCTTAAAGTTGGGGGAGGGGTGGGGTGGACTGAAGGCAGGCCTTTGTGAGTAGAACGTTATTACTTTGTTTTGGTTCTTTACTTTTATTACCAGGTTGGTTTCCTTGAGCCGAAAAACATGGGGGGGGGGGGTGGAAATGCGGTGAAACTTGGCCCCCTCCCTTTCTAACACTGCACACACCTCAATGAGTAAATGTCATGTTGGCGAGCTGTCACAGGTCCCGTTAATTAGGGAGGCGATCGCCGGGCTGATTCCAAGGGCCGAAGTATCGGCCCCCCGAACCGCACCACGAAAGCGTGGACAATTTAGAAGTGGTCCTATTTGGCGCGCCAGCGGACGCCGGCTGTGGCCCAAAGAACAAGTCAGAGCCGAGAGTTGATAAACAAAACAAAATTATATTCTCAGTAATGGCAGATCAAAAACAATACACAAGTATTCACACTCCACAATAGTTGAGTACAATATGTCACCAATCAAACGACGTACTACACAGTACAATCAGCCACACTCGAAACAACGGACACAGACAACAATACGCACTACAATGCAGTTGCATGCATTGAACAATCAAGACACTTAAAGACTAAAGAGATAAAAAACCTATTCAGTCCAAAGTTGTTGGAACACAAGTCTGGATGATACTCTTCCGAGAATCACTCACTCAAAGTCCAGCTTTGTTGTCGTTCCGCTGCCCCCGAAGTTTCTCTTCCAGAAAACCTCGACTGCCCCCGAAGTTTCTCTTCTAGGAAACCTCGCGTCTTCACTTGGCCACTCTCCAAGCTTCAATCTTCTTCGCCGGAAACACGTCGGCTTCACACACGCAGCTGTTGCCACGCGTGTTCGCTCGATAGCGGTAGACACACGCTCTTGCCTGTAGCTCGAGCCTTCACCCCTCAGGTGGAAATCCTCTTCTTCTCCTGCTTTGTCACTACGGACAAAACCTTCGCCGGACTACACGGCGGAATACCCTACGCGCTCTGGCGCTAACTTTCTCCTTCTGCTGATCTCTCATCTCGGCTGCTCGATTAAGTACCTTCCACGCGAGATTCCAGAAAGTTCTCATCATTTCGTCGGCGCGATGCGCAGCGAAGGCTGGGGGAAAGGGCGAGACGGTACGAGGGCCGTCCGCGACGGATGACGCAACCCGGCATCACCACGTCCATTTCCATCGAGAATCTTCTAGGGCCTGCTCCGGCCGCCGATGTGGGGTGAGGAGGTTCGTCCGGCGAACCTACGCTTCCGAGGAGAGAGAGACGCGTGCCCGGGGAGTCTTTGGATGCTTGTTTTCTTTCTTTTTTTTATCGTTGACCTCGCGGCGTCACTCCGGCGTTTCGTCGCGAGAATTTGGCGGCGCGCCCTCTTTTGAGCACTCGTTTTGTGACACGAGCTTAATTTAAAAAAGTCACTTTCGCCGCTAAAGCGATTCAATGAATGCGGTGGCAGGATGTTCGAACGTCACACGAAGAACGACAAGCAGCTCGATGCTTGCAGCTCACCGCTGAAGCAAAATGAACGAAGCTCGAAAAGAACGTGTAAGTTTACGCAGGACAAGCAGGAATTAACGACTGCCAGAGTTGTTACGTCTTAGTGCTTCAGCAACGCGCTGAAAGTGCAGTAAATGCAGATCCTGACGTTCTTAGATAATAGGGGCGAAGCTCCTCGAGGCATAGGCAAGTCCCGCGTTGTAGTAGCCACCACTAGCAGTCAGAGTGCTCACTAGATGGTGCTGTGGCGCTCGCACTGCTAGTACTCGGATTGCTCACTACATGATTTTGCGGCGCTCGATCCCCTTCGATGCGGGCTCTCGGGTGATAAGAGACCACGCTCGCTCTTGCGTTAAAATGCGTTAGCTCTTGGCACGCTTCGTCTTTCATCGGCAGTCTGTGTGCTTCGAGTATGAGCGACGAAGACAAGGCGGTGGAGCGGAGGGCTCGGAAAACGGCTACAGCACATGCTCGCAGTCTTTGCGTGATGATCGACCGGACAAGATTTACTGAGGGTTCACGGTTTACCAATGTTCATCCGGAGCTTCGCCCATTCATCATCATTCACTCTATGAATATATAATTGTTTTCCTTTTTCTTTTAAACTGCGTCATGTGGAGTGGTCCCTTTTCGTTTCCTGCCACCTGGTGGCGTCTGACCGAAGGAGTTCCCGGCGTTCTTTTTTGCTTTTTTTTTCAGATTAAAAGTGGGCGAAAAACGGGCCGCTTTCTCGTGCGCGTCTCAGCGACAGCTTTCAAATTGAAAGAAAACGTAAGAGCGTTCCAAGATAGAGAACGCGCTTAATCTCCTCGGAGATCTGCGTGCCACCAGTGATAAACGGTGTAATTATATTGCCATCATGATTAACTTGCCGTCGTAGGCATGGTGCGAGGTATACAGTTGTCTAAGGCGGCGCACTGTGGAACGAGGGATCGCTGGCTAACATCCCTGGTAGGGTGCCTTTTCTATACATAAATATACATATCCAGGATATGACGGTGACGGCGAAAACCCGCCAAGAGTGTCCCCATGACTGCTATCGTAATAAAAACCAAAATAGCCATGTTGCAAAGATAACTCAATCTAGTCGTCTATGCAAGAAAAAAAACTAATTCGCCTTATCTTCAATGACTCCTAATTATATGACGTTATCTAATAGCCAACACTATCAATCAATCAAGAATGGTGAAATTTCCAAGTAAAAGCGGTGTAGTCTTCACAATTGAGTTTACATTCGTGTATACGTTTCTTATCAAGAAGTTTGCGGGTATAAATTGGCAGCAGCAAGCACAGGACCGGGTTAACTGGCGGAACATGGGAGAGGCCTTTGTCCTGCAGTGGACGTAGTCAGGCTGATGATGATGATGATGACAATGGTGATTATACGTTTCTCGTCACAGTGTCCGTTCCGATATGCCTACGCACTAGCAGATATCAGTGGGGGGGCGCCACTCACCCGGTCGAAGAGGTTCGCGAGGGGCGCGTGGATGTAGTTGTTGACCTGGTCGAGCATCATCATCTTGACCGAGAGGCCCGTGAAGGGCGAGAAGAGGCTGGAGGGCGCCGGCGTGGGCGAGGGTCCGACCAGCTGCAGGCTCTGTATGCGGTGGTACAGCGCCACGTCCATCCACAGGAAGTAGGTGAGCAGCGCGAAGGACACGAGCAGCGTGACCCGGTGCTCGTGCAGAGACGTCTTGCCGCCCGCCATCACGCCGCCGCCGGACACCCCGCGGCCGATGACGCCGTTGAGCAGCATGCCGCCAACGTCCGCTCAGGCCCTGCGCACAGTGGCACGCAAGCACACGATTAACTACGACCAGGGGCGTAAGCAGATATCTTTTACCGAAAGGGGGGGTGGTCTTTTTGATCGATTGATTGATATGTGTGGTTTAACGCCCCAAAAACCACCATATGATTATGAGAGACGCCGTAGTGGAGGGCTCCGCAAATTTAGACCACTAGGGGTTCTTCTACGTGCACCCAAGTCTGAGCCCAAGAGCCTACAACATTTCTGCCTCCATCGGAAATGCAGCCGCCGCAGCCGGGATTCGAACCCGCGACCTGCAGCCGAGTACCTTAGCCACTAGACCACTGCGGCGAGACGGGGGGGGGTCATTTTTGATTTCGCCTTGTATGCCATGGCGAAATAGAGAGAGGGGCGTTTATTAGGTGACCAATGAGTGAATGTGGCAGTGTCCCTTATTCCAGGAACCCTCTGGTCTGGACCGCCTGCCGGGCCCGCGCCACGAGTTGGCGCTGGTGGAACAGGTCCGGCTTGCATGGACATCGCAGCCTCCCACACGCTTCACTGAGGAGGTTTGGGTCTGCATATATAGCTGCTGCTTGTGTGGCTGGGTTGCTGCCTTTGCATTGCATAAGATGTGAAACGGTGTCTGCCACATTACAGTGTGGGCAACTGTACTCGTTTGAAGTTGGTTTTAGGGGATGCATTAGAACGCGGTGCGTAAGAAAAAAAAAACAATGGAAGGGGGGGCACCAGCCCGGTATGCCACCTCTGACTACGCTACTCACTACGAGTCATTGCTCTTACACCGAAAGGGGGGGGGGGATGAAAAGTCTGCCGACATACATGTACATAAAAAGGGGAGGGCACTGGGACGAACCGTCACACCCTCCCATACCGCGTAGGGGTAACCTTGCTCAGGCCCATGCCTACGTCGTACGCTGTCTGCAGCTCTTTTCACTTGGGGGAGCACAGACTAACAGGTCTTATCACGCTTACTATAATATATAATAGGTAGGACATAGATTTACCGATACGTGCTCTGAGATTCTGCAGCAATGAAGTACATGAGCACGTTTGTCTTTGCAAGGAAGCACATCCCATGCGTTTATATTTACGCACATGCCCCCCCCCCCCTTCCCCAAGGGAGCAGATATGTACTTATTTAGAGAAGCCCTGCAACACCTTTCCAAGTAATTATCCAATTAATTTACTAAAAGAGTGCATTGCCTCACGAATCGACCGCCATAAAAAGGTATCAGAATCCTAATTAATAGGCGGGATAACGTCCCAAAACCATTATATTATTATGAGAGACGGCGTAGTGGAGGGCTCCAAAAATTTCGACCACCTCAGGGTGTTCATTAACGTGCATCCCAATCTGAGCACACAGGCCTACAGAATTTTTGCCTCCACCGAAAATGCAGCCGCCGCAGCCTGGATGAAAATTTCAGAATACGCCAAGTCTCAAGTGCGAGCGGAGTTGCGGGGATTTGTCGCACGCTGTAGTTGCTTTCCCTCTTCTCTCGTCCCGACCAACGCGCTGGAAGCTACTAAGGGAGGAATACGTCCCGGGGGAAATAAATTACGTCACACGCCCAACATGACCTTGAGCACTTTCTTTTCTCTCTCTCTCTCTCTCTCTCTCTCTCTCTCTCTCTCTCTCTTTGAACGCGAAACTAACCTTCACTGAGAACGCGCACGCGCTAGTGGGGGCGCGCCTATCGAGGTACCGTATAGCGCGCGCGGGCACGTGACGGCCACTACGACGGGCACAATGCCGCTCTAGATGCTCAAATTAGCCAATGGCTGAGGAGTTGGGTATATGGCGTTGTCATTTGAGTATATGACATCATTTGTAGAGAGAAGGGGGAGCGACATTTCTACCTCTCTGTGGGATTTAAGAAGAAAACACCTGCCTATTGCTCAGCTATGAACAGATATAGGAGTGATGTTTTTTTTTATGTAACAAGGAAATCCAAATTAAAGTAGGAGAGCACACGAACATTGATTTTTAGCCACTGACCACCGGATAAGGCCCTGCAGACAGACAGGCGTCAGTGGAGGGTGGAAAAGGGGGCACTTGCCACCGTCAAGCCACACCAGCTCTTGCCCCCACCCAACCTACACCAGCACTCACCCACTCCCCCAGCCATGATGCAACATTGATTTGCATTTCTCAAGACAAAATTCAGACAGCACTCACTGCCCTATTTGTAAACATCACCCCAATGAAGTTTGCTTTGATGCATGCATAAAAGTAGCGCATCCCGACAGGCCGGTCCTTTGTATATGCCTGCTATTAAGCATAGCACACATATTTCTTGTTTAAGATACAACGTGCTCCCTTGAAAGAGCACATATAGGATTCACCACAGATCTTGCTCCCCTACTGGAGTACTTGCGTAACCCTAAGAAGGAGCAGGTGTGATTCGAAACCTAGTTGCTTCCATACTGACATACTATATGGATCGCCCCGCCGCGGTGGTCTAGTGGCTAAGGTACTCGGCTGCTGACCCGCAGGTCACGGGATCGAATCCACGGCCGCGGCGGCTGCATTTTCGATGGAGACGGAAATGTTGTAGGCCCGTGTGCTCAGATTTGGGTGCACGTTAAAGAACCCCAGGTAGTCGAAATTTCCGGAGCCCTCCACTGCGGCGTATCTCATGATCATATAGTGGTTTATGGACGGTAAACTCTCCATATCAATCAATCAATAATATTGTAACGATGTTGAAGGACTCGGGGTGTAATCAAACGTATTTATTAAAGGGCGAACCTGTGCCCACAACTCTAAGGGACTATGGTCGTAGCACGTTACAGCAGAACACCAAAGATGTCTTCTTCTTCTTCTTCTTCTTCAAGAAGAGTCCCAAGCGCGTGGCGCACATCAGCCGAGGCCAGCTGGGTTCTCGTGCTATCATCATCGTCTCTGCGCAACACTAGACGGCGCGCATGTATGTTCCTGTGCGCGTGGTGATGGGCGCGTTGTTTGAATGCAGGCACTATGTCGCGGCAATATTTGCGTCCTTCTTCTAATGTACACACCCACGGTGGATCAGTGGCTACGGTGCTCGGCTGCTGACCTGAAGGTCGCGGGTTCGATCCCATCCACGGCGGTCGCATTTCGAGGGAGGCGAAATGGTAGACGCCCGTGTACTAGCATTTCTGAAGCTCTCCAATATTTACGGCGTCTCTCATAATTATATTGTGGTTTTGGGGCGTTAAACCCAAGATATTACTGTTATCTAATGTGCACACGCGTTGATTGATTTGTGGGGTTTAACGTCACAAAACCACCATATGATTGTGAGAGACGCCGTAGTGGAGGGCTCCGGAAATTTCGACCACCTGGGGTTCTTTAACGTGCACCCAAATCTGAGCACACGGGCCTACAACATTTCCGCCTCCATCGGAAATGCAGCCGCCGCTGCCGGGATTTGAACCCGCGACCTGCGGGTCAGCAGCCGAGTACCTTAGCCACTAGACCACCGCGGCGGGGCAATGTGCACACGCGTGCTATTGTCGACGTATATACGCACGTGAATGTGCATAGCGTACATGCACATCCATGTGCGTTTAATTAATCGTGTCGAACAAATATAAACGAACCCATCGAGCAAATAACCTTCTTTCGTAACCTCAAGGACTAGCGGTAACACGTCAGTGGCCAGGCGCGTATCCATTTTTTTTTAATGAGGGGAGCGAGCACCCCTTTGAAATGGTCATTTTACGCTCTCTGTGTCATGGAGAAAAAAAAAAAAACTCCCAAGCATTTCCCTGAGGGTGAACATGGTTAAGTGCGAATGCACGGGGTGATGCTATGAGGGGGAGTAAAGTTGAAATCCGTTGGCGAAGCTGATATCGGTGTCAGTAACGCGCCTTATATCCAGATGGTAGCGTTGCCTCCGGGACATCCATCGCACGACCCGCTCTCGACGGGAGACTGAGAGAGAAGGCGGGCGCGCGCGAGAGAGGGGTGCGCGTGCAGCTGCAGCGAGCGAGGAGAGCGGAGGAGCGAGCGAAGGGGGAGGGGGTATAAGGCGCGTTACTGACACCGATATCAGCGTCGCGTCCGTGGCTTATTCGGTAGAGCGTCGCGCGCGCTGCGGCCCGCCAAGTCCTCTTTCTTTTAAAGATATAGAGAAGACTGCGGACGCCGCCGACGGCGGTGGATGGTTTGGGGTCGCTTATAAAGTGTATTCACACTTAAAATGGGGCGAGGGGAGAAGGCACGGTCCCGGCGTGCTATCCGTGGCTACGCTCCTGCGCGTAGCCCGCGCTATTGCCTGCGCATAGCGCCCCACGAAGGCGCTGCGGGCGTTGATAAAGTCTGCAGACTGCAGAGAAACCCAGAGACTTAACTCCTGCCTTTAGCGACGGCATTTGGCATGTGCACGCGTCGACATCATATTTTGTCTTGGGGGGGGTGGGGGGGGGGGGGGTGTCCAAACCCGCGTTGCATCGCGGTGGGGGGGGGGGGGGGGGAGGTGGTATCACTGATATCGCTTTGGTAGCAGGTGGCGTGAGGGTCATCGTGAAGTGGTTTGACGGGGGTAGGTGCCCCTTTCGCCCCCTCCCCTGCCTGTTGACGCTCATGTTGTGGTGCACCATGTATTTATTATTCCGTTCACCATATGTATCTATTACCCACTGCGCGTGGCGGTTTGGGTATTTATCTCCAAAAGGTGGCATTTCATTTCCGCTCTCTACCTCTCCCTTTCATTTCCATGAAATTGTGTCATGTTCTCCCGTGGGTTGTAGAAATTATCGTTCTTTGTCCTAACCTCAACCTACAATATCTTGCCCAGAAATAAAGGTGCTGTCCCTTTGCTGAACTCACAATGGTTCAAGGGCCTCTTATAAGGAAAGAAAAGTTACAGGAACCCTTAGTTAATTTTAGCTACGCATGATAGCATAATGACACCACACTCAAAGAAAAAAACACTGTGCTAGACGTTCAAGAGATATTAAAAAAAAACATCTAATTCAGCAGTTCTCTTCTGTCACGGACGGCTATTGTCGGCGATACCG